CCAATTTCATTTTTAATACACAAAGCGAATGTAATTACATGATTGTTTTTCCAGAGCTGATGCTCATAAAATCTTTTGTCGTGATCCATTCTCAGCACACTAAAGAAATCATAATTTGTGACCGCAGCAGCACATAACTACATAAGATGGAAATTAAAGTAAATAATTTGTGATCACGTCAAGCTGAAGACCAAGATTTTTTCAGTAAGGTGTCGTTTTAAAATTGCAGGTTTGTTTGGATTTTTTCACAATGGAATTGCATAGATGATCGTCTTCAATGCAATTTTCGTCAAGGTGATGTAAAAAAGTATTTGTATAATTGACTCTTAAATAAGTAAGAATCTTTATTAATAATTTCAAATATGTATTATTTTATTGCCTTTCAATTGCATGGTTAATTAGTTTCAATGTGCTTAGAAGGTCGGATATTTGAAAAAGTGTATTTCAAACTAATAAAAAGATGTGTTTGATAACAACTAAACTATGGAGAGTTTTAGAAAACAGTCCTTAGACTAAAAGGCTTCATTCTTCAACTTTAGGCTTTCACAACGATAAGTATTAGTAGATTAAAACCTTCTGAAATCAAAATGCAGATATCACAAAATTACTTTCAGATGCTTAAATCATGGTCGATTGAGTAAAAAATATTTATGTAATTCAAATAAATAAATAAAAATAATAATATAAGATTCAATTTCATTTCCGTAGGGTCTAACAATTATATTATATATATAATTTTATTCAATAAGTTTATTCATATGTAACACCACGAATTAACTTTCTATATAAATTTCTATGAATTTTTATATTCTATGTATATCGCAAGTTTCTAAAACATTTTCATTTGAATTTGCATAAATTGCAATTTTTAAACAGCAAATTAACCTCTTAAATTATTAAATTCCGAATTATAAATATTTATAACTTTTATTTAAATATTTATTTGCAACAATTGGTGCTAGTATTTAATAACAACACATTGAATTTTGATGGAATACCTATAATCGTTCAAAAATTTATCATAAAATATAACACCGACATGGATCAATCAGCTCAGACGCAAGTATAATTATTACCCTAGTTAGTAAGCGATATGTAGTTTCCAACATCGATTGCAGCTATTTAAAGTGGTTTATAAAGTTATTTGTTATTATTCGTTATTAGCGATAAGAAATAACTAGTGAAATTGATTAAAAATTAAAATTTTAATTGTTGCTTAATTAAGTCATTTTACATTTATTTTACACAAACAAGCGCAATTGAAATAATTAATATAATTATTGTTTGTCATTATATATAAATTAATTTTCAGGAATTTGTTAAGTGTGTATTAAATGAGATACAGTTCTGGAACTGTTATTGACTTTGTAATTTCACAAACTCAATCTAGTAATAGTAGGAGCTTATATAAAATCCTAGTTTGAAGAACATCAGTTCTTTTCATTGTACGAAGACACTGAGTGAAAGCAAATAATATATTCAGTGAGCTTGTTTGATATGCAGAACTGAATGGAGATTACTTATTTTAAAATGAATTAAGTTGTTCAGATACCCTTTAATAGGAGAGTAGATATTTCACCAATAGGTTTAAAAATGTTTTATGTATAAGTAGTTGTGTCAAAGTGTTTATAGATTTAGCAAACCAATATTTATAAATAAATATGACTAAAATCATATGCGTAAAATAATGGGTTATCCTTTTAAAGAAAAGTGTGTTTTACACACTTTTGCTTGATGTTTTGATCAAATTTTTGTTTCAGTATATTATTTGAAAGTTACTATACAAAATATAACGTTATCTAAATGTTCTCAATGGAATATTTAGTTATTCATTTTCTGTTTCCAAAAGTGAAGTTTATCTTACACTTTCGATAATCACATGACTTTCAAACCTAAACGAATTTGTGACATTGTAATACCACATCATACACTGATTTCTTTTGAATGAAATGTTCTTTGATAGTGATTTGTAGATGTCCCTTCCTTCAGATTTGACCATAATGACTAACGAAAATTCGTAGCACATCTCTCTCTATCTCTTATTACTCGAGTGAAGTTTCCTCAATGCTGTGGAAATCTTCTCTATTCATTTCTAAGAGGTGTTTTAAGTGGGTTCCAGTCTCACAAGTTTCACACACGTAGCAAAAACGTCATAATTTTTATAGAGTTTTCACAATTTTAGCATATTTTCTATTAGAAGATCCATATTAATAAATGGTTTTAATTATTAAGCTAAATACGTAAAGCCTACAACAAGAGTTTTGTTCCATATTTGTTACTGAAATAGTTCTACCAAATAAGTACCATAAAAGGAATACCCTTTTCCATTAACTTAAAACTTTGAAAGATTATTTCTAACGCAAAATCTTTTGCTCTGCATGCGGTTGATTTCTATCGTTTTTGTAGAGTGTGGAATTATCTAAAATCTGTATTAGAAGTAAGGCATAATGATGTTACATGGGTCACGAGTGATCTGGTTTAAATAGAAAATTTGAGTAAAATTTAAAATACCTCTTTATCTTTTGTGTGAAGTACAGTTGAAGTATATAGTTGATTTAAATATATTATTAATTTAAATCATTATACTATTAATTAAATAAATATCAGAATACCCATCTCTGCGTCATCTAAAATAAGTTTTCTCAACCACCGGTCTGTGTTATTAGCACTACCGGTCTGCAAAATATTGCAAATTTACTTTTAAAGATGTTTTTTTGAAGATCTTTACAAAATATATTAAATATTTTACCAATCCTTATAAAATATGTTGAATATTTATTTGGTCTTCGGAAGGCTTTACATTAACAAACATTGATTTAGATGAGACTTTTTTATTGACAGATTTTCAACTATAACCTCGATAGTACGTGGAAAGAGCTATAGAGATATCTGAATTAAATAAAACCCTCGTATTAGAAACAGAAGTAAAATAAACATAGAGATATGTCAATCTTGAGTTAGATATGTGCTTCGAATCAAAAACAAAAAATTCAAGCTTAAAATACTGAAATATGGAAGTAAACACCAAGGTGAGTTTTAACTTGAAATTAAAATCGTATCTAGTTCATAATTATAACTAGTCACTGAAATCGACTTATATGAATTATATTCACGAAAAGAGTTTTTGTATATAAATGTATTTTAATATTTTTACGATATTTCTACGAGCTAGAAATGATCGGGAATTACAAATCAATACATTCGAAAAAAATATGTTTGTGTAAAATAATTTATTATTTGAATTAATATTAATAAATAATAAGTTAATATAATATAACTTGTAAAACTAAAATATTCTGTTTTTATGTAAAATGTTCTATACATTAATCATCTTAACTTCCGTTTCTTGTTTTGTTTTTAATATAATACATACATTAGATTATTTTAAAGTAAGTGCTATTAAACCTCAAAATTTCTGTTTAAATACACATCTATGCTATTATAGATTTGAGACCATCCTCTTTCAAGTGAAAAAAAACATTTATGAAATATTCTTCTATTCTAATATACAAATAGTTGTCAAAGAAAAATTAGAATTAGAACAAATAATATTAATCTAGGGATGTTACAGGTCTAGAGCTGGAAACGTATACAATATAGTACAGTTTCCTAAATTAAGCATCAGCAATAGAACAATTTATTCATAAATAGGTAGTAATATGCAATTACGATAGATTATTATAATTATTGTCTCTAATTTGTAATATTTCATTAAAGAAAATAAAATAATTAAATCTATTTGAGCTTATTATAATTGATATTTGAGTTTAATAATTAATAATATCTTCATCTAATAAATAATTAAGTCTGATACATTTAAACACTTTAACAAGTAATACTTTAGAAATTTTTAATATTATTTACTAAAATTTGGCAATAAAAAATTACTAGCTTTTTATTTAAAAAATTTAATAATTATTGAAAGAAACAAACATGTTTTTATGATTATCAAAAGTCATAGGTTTTAAATGTTAATGCAATATATTATGATCTTATTAGTGATCTCTAATTAAAGTTTTGGTATAAAATATGTAATAATTTTTGTCAAAAAAATACTAATTAATCTGCTTATATAACCGCAATTGTGAAATGGCCTTTCGACTGAAAAAAGTTCTAAACAAAGTGCTTTGTTAGCTCAACCTTACACCGGTATAAAGTACTCACTTGACTATCTTGACTCTAACTACGGAGTTAATTATAATAATTCTAACAAGGGACGATGAAATTCCACAAATAATTGTACTTACATAATCGCAAATATGAAATGGTCATTTGGTTTAAAAAGTTTTAAATGAGGGGATTGGTCGGTTCAATTAAACAGCGGTAAGTAGTTCTTTGTTGCTCCACTAATTTCGGAGATACTTATTTCCCTACTACTAAGAGAGATGGATATAAAGTTATGTAGATTTTTGGTAGGAAAGTATTTTTTGTCATTCTCTTACTATTTATTTGAGCCAAAGTTCTGTAATTATATAGAAATTTCATTATGATATTATTCTGTCGTTTATTTTTCATTTTTTTGGTGCTGTTAGTTGGTTATAAGACTTTTGCTTGTTTCAATGTAAATAGAGTGAAACTGAACCTATTTTGAGTATTTGCGTGAGTAGAGTGAAAGGGCTAATATTCTAATTGCTATGAATTTAATTTGGTGTATTGATTACTATAATAAATTATGTATTTTTTTAATTATTTATGTATTTCTGACATGTAAGTGATAAGTAATGAAAACACAAGCGTTGTTGGTAAATGTGAACCTTTTAGTTAGGGCTAGATTTTGTTTTTATTTATAATAATTTATGTATTTATGGCATTTTTGTGATTATTAATAAAATGCCTTCACTGTTAGCTTGAACGATCACTGTATATCAGTCTGGATAACTAGATTTAAACAAAGCATTGCAAAATTACGTGACTAAAAACTCTGAGATATATTATTATTTAATTAAAATGAAAAAAAATTATTAAAATATCTTAAATGTTTAGTAAACAGTGCATATGTGAAAAGCCGGTAAACACCATTTTTAAAATATTAATTTGCTAATGAAAAGATTAAGAAGCTATTTTTGCGGCATTAGTAACTGGCGTAAGTTTTTTGTTTCGTATAAATTAAAGAACTAGTTTTCAGATATTTTTATGAAGGCATAAAAAGATAGTTTTTCTCAATATTTTGCAGACAAAAACGATAAACTAAAAAAAGTACTTTGAGCTGCTAAAAAATTGCAAAAAATGTTGCAAACAGTGACTGAATGTCTTCGCACGTAGTCAATTAATTAAAAAAGTAACAACAAAAACATTGCAAGAACAACAAAAAATGTCTCGGCCAAGTCTAAAAGATTTTGAGAAAAATTAAATTTTGCGTATCGCCGAGACTCATTAGCCAACACTGCCAGCAGTGCCAGCAGTGCCAGCATTGCTAGCTTAGCCAGCACTATCCGCCTGTCTTACTGTGCCTGTCTTATGAAGTAAATAAAACAGAGCCAAAGTCATCGGTAGCGTCGTCGGTGCTGTCATCGTCTACGTCGACGCTCGTTTGTGCTCTACCGACAACCGAAACAGCAACACAAATAAAGCTACGCAGTGCCTGCTCTTATCATTAAGCAACGAACAATCGAGCAATTAAAGTGAACAAGCAACGAGCCGAGCTTAAGAAGCACAGATCTATAAATCGCTCGGTTAGACCCTATCGAAGCTGGCTTTAAAATTCCGTGTAATTATTTCAAGACAAACTGTGTGCTAACTGACTTCGTGCAATGAACATACTCAGCTTATCCTAAGCAAGAAATCATTAAGCTCGGATTTGAAAAATATCAAATATTTTTATTTTCTATAAACGAAAGAATTTAATCCAACAGTGCTCAGGTCCTTGCGCGAGTTTTACTAAAGAAAGGTGCAACGTGTGTTGAGTCTTTATCGAAATTTACAAGTAAAAATGTGCAAACTGAACTTTTAAATAAAAAAATATCAAATTAAAAATTAAAACAAATAAACAATTTTTTTAAGTGCTAAATAGAGAATTTTTGTAAAATTCTGTTGAGGAATTCTACGAAAATCGAAGGACTACGTGAATAAAGTTCTGGACTAAATCACAGTGAGAAACAAACAAAAAGGTGAGCAGAGCATTTTGCCGTAATTTAGCTGTAATTGCTATAAGTTAATCTGTGTTCTTAAGTTGAGTTGAGAAATAAAAATTTGTCCTTCCTAAAGCAATCATAAAGACTTTTTTGATTTGTAGTTAATATTGTATCTCACCAAACCGTAAAGTGCTTGTATAAAGTGATTGTCTATAAAATATATTTATTTACATAACGGTGCATATATATTTATGTAATGAAATGTCTCTACAATGTTTACAATGTTGATTGATATATTTAAATTAATATCCTCAAGTTTTCAAATTCATCGCCAATGTAAAACAGTGCCACAAGCTTTAAAATACAGTCGCCACAAATTAAAAGTTAAACTAAAATTTGCTCAAATATCTTGTTACTTTCATTTATAAGCAAAGTATTTCAGTTTATTAATGAAGCTTTTTATCCTCTTAAATTTCAGTCAATTATAAACAAAAATATGTTTTCTTCTTGGCACGACAAATATTCAATAATGAAAAGAAGAAGGATTCTTGAAACTATTGTTTTTTGCCCATTCATATAGAAAAATTTCTAGAGAAATTACTGTTCACTATAAAATTAACCATTCAAGCAGCATTCATTTTTGTTTTTATTTTCATTTTTTCTTATTTATTATAGAAAATTTTTTAATAGGAATAAATAATATAAAAAACCTATCTGAAGAGAATCTGGTTCGTTCAGTACATTCATTCATTTTGAAGTAAGTGTTATTTTCTCCTTACTTTAGTTTTAAGAAGTTCTGTTATTTTTGATCACCGAAAATGATTATTAGAATACAGACTAGAATTAGATATATATTTCATCACATTATTTAGTTAATGTTGATTCAGTTAAAAACCAAAATATTGAATGGAAGATAAGCTCTCATAAGACTAGAACTTTAGGATCAATGCAAATATGGCCATGTAACTATAATTTTAAAAAACAGAAGTAGAATTTAGTTAAATTTTATGTATTATTATTTGCTTGATTGATTTGTGATTGACAATGTGATTTACTATTAATAAATACCAATAAATTGCTCCATTCCTAAAGTTGTTCTGACAATCCGGTAGATATCTATTAAGATTGGTTTTTGTAGTGTGGTGGATAGGCTACGTGCTATTTTAGATGTACAATGCTCTTGACTGGATTAAGTCTACCTATATTATGCATTTGATTTAATGTACGTATAAGGTTCTATTATAACACTCACTTAGACCAAAACGTTACTGTTTCACACTACTGGTTCCAATTTCAGTAAATAATAATTTCTCTTTTCTTTTGGAAATTCATTTTTTTTATAATAACTCTAAGTACATAATAGTTGCACCATTTTTATGGCAATTCAAATATACTTTACATTATCCATAGCCTGACAAGATGATATAACGTGAACAATGTTTAATTAGCGATCTATAATTAGCGATGAGCAATTTTTTTGCAATGGAAATAGGAATGGATATGTAGCAGACCTTTGACACTCTCCGCTACTTATGTTAATTTTATTAATTTTTTTTTCTATAATGTATGTATGCATATAAATGAAATAAAATTGATCGTCAGGTTTATGTTGATTGCGCTCATGGGCTTATGTAATCTATTATGACGCAAAAGAATTTCTCTTCCTATTATTTGACTAGATTGCAAAATCGTATTTTTAACCAATAATTTGTGGACTTTATAAGTAAGTTTCTAGTAAACGAATCTTATGCTCTAATATACTTTAATATATATATATACTTAATATACTCTAAAATACCTGATATAATTTTTAAACATTTTTACACCATTGTGGAAGAGATGATCCAATAAAGTAAACCTTTTTTTCGAGAAATATTATGAAAAATTTTAGATCTAGTTATGTTATGTTAGTTAAAAGAAATCATTAATAATTGAAATTGTTTATATTCACTTTACATATTAATAAGATATACAATTATATCATTTGAAATTAAAATCTACTAGATTATCACAATACATTTTTATCTTAAATTTTTTAAATTACAGATAACGAATGCTAATGCATAATAATTATAGCACCCAAAATAGCTCATATCGACATAAGGCTTCCTAGTAACCATATTCGTTATATACCTAAAAAGCCAAAGGTTCTTTTAAATTTATTTTTATGCATATATGTTTATATATATCTTTTTTCACAAATAGAAAACATCTAACATCTCGCTTCTAAAATTCTCAACATATGTCAACGTGAAGGCCAGTAATCAGGCATCACGTAGAACACAAAGAACACAATTATGAAAAAGTAGCTATGAATCTTACCTGTTAACCATAAATAGCAGCAGAAATACAAAGCACCAAAGCACCAAAGCACCAAAGTAACTAAGTTGATTAATTGATAATTCATAAAACGATTTAAGAATTTCTCATCGCTTCAGCATATTTAAATAAGCAGATACGCGTGCTTCTGCTTCTGCTTCTGCTAGTTTTTATTAAAGGATTTTTGCCGAGCATTTCTGAAATCTGCTACACAATGCAAAACCTTACTTGGCACACCAACTATTCTGTATGCGTATGGCGTACGCAACAGCCAATAAAGTCATAATGAATAATATTAATAATAGTCAATAATGCTCAATATCTGAAAGTATCGTCAGTGGTGCGCAAACACAGCCATACGTAATCCTATGCACTTAAAGTCACATTTTTGCTCATTGATCAGTCAAGCGCGGTTCAGATATTGTGATTGTAAATTTCAACTATACGTTGTCTTCTTAATCTTATTAATATATGAATAATAGTAATATATAATTTATATTTGGCTAAAGAAATTGTATTTTGTATTTACTACATTGTATTCTCGATAGTTAGGTACTACCTTCCAGTTGGTAGTATAATAAGCGAGCAATAGTTCGATTATACTTCAATTTTTATGAATATTTTTAATTTAAATGAGTCTCGAAATAGCAAAGAAGAAAAGAAAAGTCGTCGATACCACTTCAGAGTTAAGTTTGACCTTAGGTATCTCAAAGCTCTGCTTAGTGGTTACCGGAACTGTTTTTATAGCTGAAGGCGCTGCGCTATTAAGCAAAAATTGCACTGTGTAAACCACAGCGAATTTCAAATTATTAACATAAATTTAAGTTGTGATTGACAAAACCAAATAAAGAAATAGTTTAATGGAGTTTTGAAACAATCTTTCGGTGACTTCAATTTTTTTAGAAATAAAGTAGTAACCCAATGATTAATTCAAAAGTTATACTTGACTGGTTCAGTGGTACTAAATAATAATTTTGAAATTTTACGTATTCATATATAAGATATAAAAGATTCTACCTGATTTTTGTTAATAGTTTTGTCAACTTCTTTTTAGTTGACACTTTGGCTGTTGTTTATTTCAATAAATATATTTTATTTGACTGTAACATTTACTAGATGCTTGTATGAGTTGATGGAGTTTACTTAGTTCTAAAAATCAATTCAATTTAAATGAATTTAAATATAAAAATATGCATAAGTGGGTAACCAAACTTCAAAATGAAAACATCTTTTATGTTTGGCTTTCCCTTAAGTAATTATATATGAAAATTATACCATTTAAATAATAACGAAAATCGAAATACTTTTTAATAGGGGTATGGAGTATGGATATTAGAAATAATATTTGTACAGGCCTTTTCCTAGATATTAGTATCACATTTCTTATGTGCATTTTTATATTCGTTAATTTTTTTAAAAATCTATATTTTTTAAAAATCTACTATTAAAAATTTAAAAATAGATACTTGTAAATATGTGATGTATGTTGGTCATAGTTTCAAAAAAAAAGTTATGGTTATATTTAAAACTGTTATGTAGATAAGTATTACCCGTAATTAAACTTAATATTGAACTCATGAAATACATCGAGTCATTGGAAGATATATTCCATCAATTAATATATGTTCAAATAAAATGTCTTCAGATTTGCAGTCATTGATCTAGTATTTGGTAAAAAAAATAAAAATAATTAATATAAGATAAATAAATGAATAAATATATAAATATAAAAAAAAACATATTTTCTGTGAACTCTGAAACAGATAATTTCATAGAAAATTTTTAACAATTTTAACTATTAACCATAAAATTATGTGAGCATATCTAGTTTATTCTTAGTTTTTCAATGTAAAAACGAGTAATTGAAACGCGCCTTTCGTTATTAACATTCTTTAGAATTCCACCGAATGGCTTCACTTTATGCTTTACGCGATCATGGTCTTTAAGTCCATGAGTATTCTAATGGCTTCAGTTATATGATTCGCGGATTTATGTTTCAATAGATACTAATTAAGCATTACCTGAGTGCACTTAAAAAGTTGTTATTCTCGACAAACTACAATATTTTTATCGAAATTGGCCAATTCACACTTTTTGCCAAAGACCTTTGGAGATTTTAGAACTTAGTGAGGAAGGGGGAATTGCAACGTATTCACATATTCACAAAGCAAAATTTAACTGAATTATAGCTGAATTGATTGTTTAATAATTTAGCTATAATTATGAAATCGAAAATTATGAAATTCTTAATAGAAACATTTCAGCTGGGATTAAATTCAAATTAGAATTAAATTTCAAGTAACAAGTATGAGGCCAACCACTTTATATCTGTATCTGTAGCTTTGTTGTGAATTGTATTTAAGACTGGTTCTAAGCTGTTCTGTTGGCTTAGTTCATATTTTCATATTTCATAATTTAATCTTTGAATTTTTTTGTGAATGCTTTTTTTAGATACAGATTTCAGTTGTATGTTTTTTAATTTGAATCTGAATTTTGTTTCAAAATGTGTCAATTGCTGTTTGTATTTGTTTGCTTGTATCTGGCGCAAGCTTGAGTGCACTTGCAGTTAAAAGTTTTGCATTACATTAATATAGAGTAACTAATAGAGCTCTAGAGAGTGTTGTGCTCGATGTTGTAACAACACTGTGGTTCAATGTCAAGAGTGCGATATGTTTTATGGACAGTAAAATCATTTTAGTGTCAAGTTAACCAGTTTTAGATCAAATCAGAAGAGTACACAAGCGAAAAGTAAATGTTTTCCAAAAAAAATTTCTTGCCAATTCATTTGAAATACAATTTTCAAATCTAAAGATACAGTTATGTGATGTACATGTCAGCGATATGCTAATGGCTAAGTCTATCTTAGCCATTTATCAATTATTTCTACTTTTCACTGATCGCTGCCGAAAAGTCACAAACTTAGCCGCAGCTTTAATTAGTCACCATTGATGAAATCGCCGATTGTGATTGTTCGTCAAAAAGAACCTTGCAAAGAGCAGATAAACTCGAAATTAATAAATAAATTGTTACATAAATAAAGTGAATAACTAATATTTTCGAGGAATTGATTAGTTTTCAGAATACAAAATATTGTTTTTAGCAGCTCGACTACTTGATTCGTTCTTTTTCCAGCTCTACTTCCGCTATTTTGATAATGACCAATAGTTATTAAAATTGAAAGAAACGAAAAACAAGTTCGTTTAACCTATTGCAGTTGGATACTTCAGCTGACTTAAGACTTGAATGGCCATTGTGGAGCAGAGCCACTACCAGCAGAGCCACTTACAGCGGCTTTTGTCTTCACATATACCACTCGAGACGTTCAATTTAAGCAGAAAAATTTATTCAATTCACATTCGGTGTGAGATTTGTTGTATGAATGAAACATTACGTTTCAATTCGACATAAAATTTATACACAACTCAATTTGCATGCTTTTGTTTAACGTCGTTTAATATCGATTTTTTATGTTTTCGGTAACATTAGCTTACTTTTTGGCATTAGGAATTCAAGTAGCATCGATTTGCCATAGTCTAGCATTCATTGACTGGAATTCTTGATGAGGTAGTACTGTCCAAGAGATTTGGGAGCTAGTTCCAAATGAAGTATTTGCTCAAATTGTTGTCAAGTGAGTTGAAGTCAGTATTATTATACATATATAAGATTGCACACTTTACACCATATTAGCTGCATTGGTGGATTTAGGTAATAGGTTCTACCAAGCACGTGTAAAAGTTTCGGGTATTTCCTTTAATGCTTTTCCTATCGAAACTAACTACTTAATATGCCAGTTGTAGCTGCGAATGCGCAATTGCTGCTTTAGAACTTTCTAAATTCACTTTATTTACAATAACTAATTTGCATACCCAAAATTATTTGCAATATATCACAAAACCAAACAGGAGAGCCCTCTCTACGAAACTTCAAAATTCAAACATTTCTACGTGATTTATTAAGTAATTTGCCGTAATTAATTTTCAGTTGGAGCTAAAAGTGTTGAAAATATATAACTGTTGACATCTTAATTGTTCACAATATACCTGATCTGTAAAAGTAAACAGTGTTACAATTTATAAGGCCAGCGAACAGGTTAAGCAAGTGAAATCTGCCTACTATTTGTGTAGCTGCTAGATACTGTGTACTCGAGTACACCCGTAGTTTGCATGTGATCCGCATAGTTAATTAATTTTATTTACAAGAGCATAAAAGGAAATTGATGTTTCAATTATCATAATAATACCGCTAATAATAATGATTGAATATTTATTCTGTATTGTTAGCTTTTTGTTGGTACCACACCCATATTCTTTATTTCTAAAAAATATTTTAAAACATTTTTTTCAAATAGTTTGCTTTGTTTCCTTGTATATTTTTAGATGGCTCCCAATATAATAGGCAGCACCTTCATTATTGCTGAGACTGCCATATCTAATGATGGCAATCACAATAACAAAGCCGCGGCAGCTGGAACAACAACCACTACCGCAACTTGCCCCTCCACCATCAAGGGCAATGATCGTGTGCCGACTCAAGGCGAACCTGCCCTAATGAAATCCAACGCCAAGAACGCAAAACTTGCTGAGAATAGTGCCATTCAGAAGAAACCCTATAAAGTGGAAATTGTTTGGGGAAATATAATGCTCTTCATTATTTTGCATTCAACTGCTTTGTATGGATTGTATCTGATATTTGCTGAAAGTGCCTATATTGAATTCGGTTTGAGTAAGTATTACTGACAGAACAAGAACAAATATATAAATACTTCATTTAACATTGGATATACATAGTATATCACTTTTGTAAATATAGAATAGAAAAAGTGTTTCTATTGTTATTGTTATTGTTTTTTAAAGGAATACTTAATAGCATTTAGCTATCAAGTACCAGTAAAGTTATTGTTCTCGAAGATATCAAAATAATTTAAAGGTAACAGCTGAACCTATGAAAGGTTGTCAAAGTAATATTAAGGAAGTCTATATATAACAGTATTATATCGTTTGTATGATATGATAATGAGCACTTCATCAATTCTAGTTTTCTCTATTAATCTCAAAGCTCACAATATATTTTTAAGAGTATATAATCATAATGCCAATGTAAAATTTCTTAAATCGGGTTTTGCAATTTGATGAACTTTAAAAATTTGAAAAGACTGCAGTTATCGTAATAGCACGTAGTGACGCAAATATACTCCTAAATGGTCAATGGTTCTTGTTTTATATTGGAAAAGAAATCTACACAACTGTCTAAGTAATTCATAAAATGTAATTTCCAAAATAATTTTTATGTAGTTGACAAAGTGTTGAATGATTTTGGTAAAATTCAAAGCATGTCTCAGCTTTTATGACACATATATCAACCTTAAAAATTCATTCACAAAATCCAAGTATCCCAATTGAATTATTGTCATCGTACCGCGTCACAAGTATTAAAAAGTTATATAAAACAGAAATTAGTTTTATGACTCGAACAGATTGAATTATTAGTAAGAAAAGTTTTTGAAATTCCAAGAACAGAACCGAAGTTCTTACCAATAATTAGGCTATATACTTTCGTAACACGTATACGCAGCTCTTGGATTATAACACGTCAATTGAAAGCTAAGCTAAGAGCTTATAATTGACGTATTAGCAGAAAACTGCTGAGATCGAGTACACATGTCTGCATTAATAAATAGGAGTAAAAAACGTGCATAGTACATTAGTCAACACGAAGCATTTCTTGCTTTATCATTTAATTTTATTACAAATTTTAATAAATGTTTATTTAATTTGGTATAGTCTATATAACTGGATTTATTGGCGGTTTGGGAATTACTGCTGGCGTACATCGTCTTTGGTCGCATAGAGCATACAAGGCCAAATTGCCTTTGCGCATATTTCTTATGTTGTGTCAATCATTGGCTTTCCAGAACAGCATCTATGAATGGACACGAGATCATCGCGTACATCACAAATTCACCGACACTGACGCCGATCCACACAACTCTAGACGCGGCTTCTTTTTTGCACATATGGGATGGCTTTTATGCAAAAAACACCCTGATGTTAAAGAGAAGGGCAAACAAATTGATATGAGTGACTTATTGGCTGATCCCGTTGTAGTCTTCCAACGCAAGTAAGATTTGCACCAGAATTGTTGTTATCAAAATGGGCATTTAACAATTATTTTAATTATAATTCTAGATACTATTTCATCGTTATGCCCATATGTTGTTTCGTGCTTCCTGCGCTGTTCCCATATTTCTATTTGGGTTCATCACTAAAAGTATGTTTCTTTGTTTGCTCCATGTTGCGTTACTGTCTGTCATTGCACGGTACTTGGTTGGTTAATAGCGCAGCTCATTTCTACGGAATGAAACCCTATGACACCGCAATAAGCTCAGTTGAAAGTAAGGTTGTGTCAATTATTGCTTTCGGTGAAGGTTGGCATAACTATCATCATGTCTTCCCTTGGGATTATAAAGCAGCTGAATTAGGCACATATAAATACAACTGGTCCACTGCTTTCATAAATTTGATGGCTAAAATTGGTATGTTTTCTATTTTTATATTTATAAATAGTTCATAAATGAATGAAATGAATTATAACAAATTACAAACTATAGGCCAAGCATATGACTTGAAATCAGTTTCTGAAGAAATGGTGCTGAAACGTGTCCGTCGTACTGGTGATGGTACTCACTCATCTGCCATTGATTGCAACAATAACTCTACGAGTGGCATCACAAACCAAATGGTATCAAAACTAAATCACGATGATGAGCCCGTGATGGTGTGGGGTTGGGATGATAAGGACATTCTGGAGGATGATCGTAAAAAAGCTACAATTCATGAAAAGAAAGAGGATTAGGTAGCAAACTTATCATTATTCCATTACTATAAGAGTACAGTTTTTAATTATAATAATTATAATTGGTGGCTGTTACTTTCTTACATACATTATACATAATATGCACAATATGCACAAAGCCAAATAAAACTCTTTGGGAATTGATGTGCTGATTCGAAATTTTATATTTACAAATCAAATTCTTTACCCATCGTCAGGTCTGTTGTTTAAAACTCTAAAGAATAATTAAAATTGCAAAATTTTTAATTGAAAGCGAGAGGAATCTAGAGGGGTTCCCAAAAGATTTAACTTTAATTTCAACTCTAAATTAATGTTTTATTAATTAATGTTAATTATAACGCGAGAGGTTCTATTTTTAAGGATAATTCACATTGCAGTGTTAAGGTTTAGTTTTTAAGGAAATTGCTTGTAAAGTACGTGTTTCTAGTTATAAAAATTATTATAATATATATTTTTTGATATATACAAACAAATTTATTTTCTAAAGTAATTATTTTTACAACGTGTTGTTTTTTATATATATACTATGTTACAAATTATATTATTATTTAAGGGTCATATATACATTTGTACAATACAATAAAAAATAATAACCAAAAACTTAAAATTAAAAATAAAAATCCTATAAAAAAAATAAAAAGTTTAGTTTTTCCATCACCGAGCAATTAAAATAGATCGGCGAATATTGGCAAATAAGGAGAATATTTATTTGTTTCCCATAAAAGTTAAGATTTATCACTTCTAATAGAAAAATAATATAATAGTAAACACGTGTATAGAACTGAAAATATCATTTCTATTTGCTAAGGAATATCTGTAGATTGGTTTCGTGTTATAGAAACACGCGTTATAAGGTTATTCCCGTATACCCCGTATACACACGTGCAAAGATAGGCGAAACTAATTACGAACTGGTACCGCGTTATAGGGGGGATTACTGTATAATTGAATTTTAATTTTTAAAATATATATAAGATTTTGAATCGAAAGATAAAGTCATTTGTTTAGTAAAGTGCCCTTAATACTTTAAGCAACCTTTGCACTTAATTATCAGCTTAGTTAAAAAAGTTTTGATATTTTATCAGAGCTGTGCAAAATCAATTAAATTACAAATTAAATTACAATTATAGAAAAATTATAATTGATAATTGTATTTCCATATTATATGTTTAATTTAATTGAAAACCTCAATTACGAATTGCAGTATAATTGTAATTTGTAGTTGAATTTCTACATTACAGGTATAAGTTTAATTGAAAACCCAACTTTCTTTTTTGTCTCTATTCTAGATCAATTAGACAATTAGACAATAAAACGTATTAAAATGCACATTATCGGTTAAAAAAACAAATGTAGGCAAACCTTATGAGCAAAACAAATTATATTATATGCACACAAATTGTACACACATATACTACACAAAAACAACGATCATCTCAAATTTGCTTAAAACAATGCACGCACTACGTATCAGGAAATGTTAAATACAGTCAAACCAAAAAAAGGAACAACAAAATGTTTACACATTCGCTTAAAACAAAAAACAAAAAAATAAAATTGCGCAAAACCACCCTTAAATGCATGTAAAAAGCAAAAACAAGCAAACAAAATGCGGTCTACTTAAAACCCAAAATCCAACCATAGTTTCGATTCGTTTATCATCTCTCAGAAGTTTCGATGCTTCTTCTTCTCTAGATTATTTTTGCAAATTACGCGTAATTCATAGTTGGGTTTTCAATTAAAATTATACTTGTAATTTGGAAACGCAACTACAAATTACAATTATACTGCAATTCGTAATTGAGGTTTTCAATTAAATTACACATATAATCTGGATATTCAATTATCAATTAAATTACTCAGTAATTTATAATTGAGCGTAATCTAATTACAAATATAATCATTACTGCACAGCTCTGTATTTTATAGTTGATGTGGAATGTCGGTTTTCTTTCGACAGAATAAATTGTCTATGATTTTATAATATCATAAAATTATAAAAAACATCGAATTCAATTCTATTAAAAGGTTAGAATTTTTGAGCCGTGAAACGAAGTTATTATGCAAAAATAAATTTAAAATATATATTATTTAATAGAAATAAATAAAAAATGCTAATCGATGTAGCACGAGGTCCCCGGTAACTCATTTAATCGCATTAATTCAATTTTTAAAGCATTTCTTTCGCGTCTTCAGGGTTTTTTTCTGATATCAGACGAGTTTGTTTTGTGTGAAATCTCGTTTCGAAATAAACGGAAGTGATGGAGAGAAATCGAAATTTAAAAACCACACGACAATGTTAACAAACTAGAATTCAATGAAAATCCAATAAAAAGTGCAAAAAATCGCTAAAGAACAAGAAGCTTAGAAGAAGCGTGTGGCATGTGTAGAAGCATTGTTAATATATGACCCATCAAATATATAAAAAACGATCAAAGCTATTAATTAGACAATAATAAAAATATGAACTTTTTGTTCAAGATTTTTTAGAGATTTTTGCATATTAGTTGCATACTCTCTACTATAGATTGCTTCAAAACCACAAAACCATTAGAAATCATCATATATTGTTAAACAAAATGACAACAGTGAAGTCAGAACATCAACCAATTTTGGAGACGAACGTAGTTCCATAGAATTTACTTTTAGATTTTTAGTTCATGTTGAGATATACCTTCTAATGGCTGTCAATTCTGATAGTCGAAAATGAAGTAGACTCTCTTCATTATTGTTATAGTGTATTTCTTAAATCAATTTAATAATAAGTACTTTAATTAATATTTTCACAATATTTAATATAATTGTTAATTATTTTACGTTTCGTTTTTTCCAATCTGAAGTCACTGCTTTACAATTTTGAAAAATTATTTCATTAGTAGTTTCAATTGTTTCACTATCCATCTATTTCTTTAAACGCCTCATATAACATGTTATGTATGTCTAGCAATTAGCGCCGTCGTAAATGCTTGCTTTGTCACTTGTTTGGGTTGGACATGACCTGAGGTATTCTAAATGGTGATTGAATGTGTTTTATGACATTCTATCAAATTATTATACAAAGGAACTTGTGATTGCATTGGACCAACCATATATTTGGAGATAAAAAAAATTTCCATGGTGTTTTGGTACATTATTGACCTTTTGTATTATTCCATTGGTGTAGAATTTTTCGTTGTGCCAATTTTTTATCATTAAAAGAATTTTGCAGAGACCAAAGGAAATGGTAGATGGTAGAATGGTAGATGCTCAAAATTCGTCAATTACTAATTTGTTTCGTGTCAACTAAGATGTGTATGATCTGGCGTTGTCACTATTAAATATATTTCCTATTCTTTTAACCAATTCTGGTCACTTTTCCTTAACTGCTTTGTGCAAGCGGTCAAGTCGTGAGTAGTATAGGAATGAATTAACCATTGCATCTGACTGCAGACAATAATTAATATACAATTACTAAATACTTAATTACTAAACTCACTAAACAATTAATATAATATTGTTTGCCGTCTATACAGAGTTTGAATCCATTTGTAAAGGGTCACTGGTTTGTAAGCGTGGACGCTTGTATTCGAAATTTATCATTTTTCATTTTTGATCATCCCTAATAGTTTGCGTTCCATTGACGGTTATTTGGCCAATCAAATTTCTTTGCTTCAATTCAAGTGATACCTTAACATCGAGCATCGAACACCCTAAGTTATTCCGATTGTATTGTTAAGTGCTAACTGATAAGTATTGATAAGTTACATATTTTACACAATAAAGAATGAAAATGTTACCAGTTATCACGTTTCCATCATCTTATTGGACTGTATTTATAATGTAAGATTTGTGTTTAGAATAGACTTCTAATATGTTCTCGAGCCTTTTGTATATGCTTAAGGAAATTTATATAAATCACTTACGTATTATTATTTTTATATGAAAGCAAGAAGTTTTGCGGAAGTTTAGAACAGATTTTGTGAATTATCCATAATAATTGTCTTAATCTAATATTTAACAGGATGTTATATTAGGAATTCTGCAACGAGGTACTTTCATTCAAACGAATAAATGCCAATTAGAGTCCAATTAGAGTCAAATAGAGCACAAAATAGCTATGTTATTTACAATGGTCTACTTCGCCGGAAACCTGATTAGCTGAGCTTATACAACCTCACCCTAAACCTAATACCATCTTTTATTGAACTGAATTATAAAGATAAATTGAACTTAACATTATACCACTTCTTCCGCTTTCTCACTTTAAAGTAATTTTTAAGAGTAGCGCCGAAATGTCTATCGATGCCAGCATCAAAGCTTCAAAATCCAGTCTTGTTTAAACGTTTTTAGACATGAATTACGATTTGTTAAGAAGAACATTTCGGATTTTCGTAGGTTTTTCGCTGACAAAAATATGACATTTTTACCCTTCAGCGAGTTGAAAAATGTCGAATTGAGGATTTTGACCACGTTTAAGCATAATTTGCAAAAATTATTTTAATTCTTTTTTGTTTATTGTCTAATGGAATATTATATTACTGAGCTGCTAATTTGTTCTGAGACACTATTTTGCATTTTAATGCTGAGCGTAAAAGTTGAACACTAAAAGCAAAAAAACCTGTAGAAATAATAAGAACTTGTATAGCCAGAAACCTCAGCTATATCGACAAGCAAAAAATTAACTTAAACTAATTTTTTTCAATACATTTTTTTTTCAGTTTAAATCCTTTACTATTTCGCAATATAACAGAAATAACAGAAATAATAGAAATTACAGAAATTTATATAGACTGATAAGTAGATTACATTTAACCTATATAAAAAAGCTGTCCATCTGACTGCTACGAGGTGTTATAGGCTTTCCATATGCATTTTGAACTCAGTGATAAGAGGAATGTCCATAGTTTATTTGTTGTTGTTCGTCATGTGAGTTAACATGTGTCCGAGCGGCATAGATGAGTGCCGCTATAAATGCGCTATTATTCAGGAGTAACGTCATAATTGTGGCCATCTTCAGAACAGGCAGAATAAATGGAAGAAATGAACCCATTAAAATGGCAGGCATAATCATAACCGGAACTGCTAACTGCAGTATGGTTTTTTTAAGTGTACGTTTCTTTTTCCGTTTGCCAAGCATGGGACGTTTTTCCTGTGCCTCCTCTGATTCTTCTTCCGCAGTTTCCATTGCTACTTCTGGACGTACTCGCCTATAGTGTTTAAAAGACCGTGCCTGTTTTTTAGATTTATTTTCTACGAAATAAAAAGGAAAAAAAATTTGTGTAAAAATATATTGGTACATATATATTAATTAATAATTATGTAAAAAACTGTTATGATTTACTTGTGCCTTTCTTGAGTGAAAATTTTAGAGTGTTCTCCTTGCTTGGAACTATACGCACCATGATGCCGGGTAAGAAGTGTATTTTAATATCGCGGTCCTCGAAAAATTTCTGAAAATTTTGTACCAAACGCTGATTTAACTCTTTCTCTGCCATAGATGCATATTTGCTAGTAACCAAACTACCCAATATTTTCTCGGGACCAAAAAATTGATCCATGAAGTCTTTAGTTAAGTTTCCAGTACGCGGGTAATTCTTATGTTCTTCCATTTTTTGTAGTACGAATAGCTTTGTGCAGTGCAAAGCAGTAAATTTACGTAGGCATTCATAAATGCGCAGCGGTATTGTTGCGCGTACGTACGGTATGGTTTTAAAAAGATTATCGGCATTACGTGCTAAGGTTTCAGTGTCGCCATCTATTAACAATTTTCGCGCTACATCGTAAAAGCTCAAATCTTCAGCGATATTTTGATTTTTTGTGTGTTGCTCGGAGCTTTCTGCCGCTTTACTGAAATGATCGTTGTCTTCACTGTTCAAAGCTTGTACTAGTTGTTGTTGTTGAGTCGGTACAACGCAGGCGCAGACTAATACCAGCCAAAATATATGGAAGGTACTCATAGATACTTCAGACATGTTGTCTATAAAAGGACAAAGTATCCTTTTTCTTATAAATGTATTTTGAAATAAATCAGAAAGATTTGGTTCTGTGTCTGTGAACCGCACTGGTTTAAACTCAGCTCTAAACTGCAGGCTTGCGCAGCAGTCTGACAGATCACAAGCAACCACTTCGCAATCTCTACTTACTTCTTTTGCTACTTTCCTGCAATTGAAAGAATTGTAGTTTTACTTGTTATGCCATCACTGCCATTTTCTAATGTGACCACAGCAGTCGAGAGCAACATTTCCCGACTGTATTTCATTTTGATATGATTTGAAATTGCACTCTTGTAGCATAAATCCGTCTGAGCGGATATTGTTCATGCGTACTTGATTATCTCTGCTGCCATGTTCCCAGCTTGGTCTCAGAGAATCTTTCTTAGCTGCTAGCAAGTACAGTTCAACTTTCCATTGATTCTAATTCAGTTGTTGTGTCCATTTGTGTGCGTCTATTTTGATAATGAACGAACAAACAATGGCTTGACCCAGTTGTGGCCATTTGCACAAAAGTGGTACAAAATGTCAGTGGAGCACTTTAAACCCAATGCAGTTGCAATCCAGTTTCTGATACGAGTTACACCAATTACAACTAACACTTTAAAGCGTATGTTCGACTTTAAGATTAATGGTTTTAGTGGAAATGGTTTTGAATGTCATATACGTATTCAATATTTTTGCCTTTAGTTTAGTAAATAAAAAAATTATAGATAAGTCTAATCACCCAAAACCATCCGAAATACGCAGCTATTCAATAATCTGGCATAACGAATTCAATAAAAGGCTATCGTAACTGAACATTAAGCAGTTTCTGTTATTTTTGCAATCGACAAACAAATCATTTAAGTATTTATAATCCTCATAAATCGTATCAGCTAACAGAACTGATTTAACACGGCAACTAAAGTGGCGGGTAAGCCAATATAACTTATCGGCGTATGGCTTGTTAACAACATGATGGAACTATAAATTTTCTATTAATTGTAGGAAGTGGCGAACTATGCGCTGCACGTCTAATAATTAACTGTGAAGAAACCCAAGCTATTGCACTTCAAAGTCAAGGCCTGACAGGTGCAACTTCTGGCTGCAGCGCGAGAAAGACTCCAAATGATGATTGACAAGAGTAGAATTAACTTGTCGCATATTTACATATGCAAATTGTCAGTGATGACGTTGAATAAATTGGTGTTTGTTAAGAGACGAATTAATTAATAGACTGCGTTTGCCTTAGAGCAATAATGTAGTATTCTCAAGACAATTATAGATTCGGTATGACAAAGAAAGTAAAACTTGTTGAATCGTTCATTTTAATTAAAGTTATCAGTTCTAGTGAGTAATGAGCAGTGATGTAGTTGTATATATGCTAAAGATAGTTTTCGAATCAATAGCTTCGAAAGTGAGACACATTCTAGTATAGATTGAAAGTAAATAAAAATACTCAAACTGATTTCTTCAAACACTTTCTTTTTTAAAACAGTGAAAAGGAAGTAAATGGATATTATAATTTATGATAAAAACGATAAAAAAAATTCATAATCTGAATGTAGAAATAGGCTCTTTGTCAGAATTAAGGAAATGATATCACTCATGATTGTAATATACTCCAACCATTTAGCAAAAAAATTCTATAAAGAATTGTTGACCCATATATGGGAAAGCGCGAGTCCGAAAACGTTATACGAGTACCAATGAAATGTATATCAACAATCATAATTTAATGATAAAAGTACAGTTCAGTAAGTTTCGATGGAAATAGTGTCCATCTCAAATGATCTCAAATGAACGTGCTAAGAAAACACTTTGTGACAGATTTTTTCATAGACTTCAGCTGGCTAGACCCTGACTAGTGTCGAAAAGGGATACCAATTAAAAATTGCTCAAACTTTCAATTATCCTCCATCATTATATTAGAAATGTACGTTTGGGATGTTCAAGCTTGCAATAACACGTTTTCTATTGACGTAATATGGTTCACAATACAAAGGATTTTAATAGTCGAGATGTTTACATTTCTTTTTATATAGGACGTAATATTCATGATGGATTAGATGTTCATATAACACATTGGAAACTTTATGTTAGAAATTTCTGTCATGCAATAATAACAAAGATATGAAGAAGGTTTTTCTTATGTATGGTTTATGTATGGATATTTATTAAAATGTTTTTGTTCAAACTCAATAAGTTAGAATTCTTCGAATATAATAACGAAGTATTGAAAAGGTGATTTCATTTGTATGTCAAAAATTTGACACAAAATTAATTTTGGACTTGCACGATCTTCAAATTTTACCTTCACCAAAAAAATACAAGTCCGACCTATTTCCCTTTTCCAAAAACACTTTCTTCGTATATTAAACATGTTTAAGAGAAACATTTAAGCACGTACGGTTTTTTGTTGTTGTTGTTGGAGTGATTGGATTTAATAAAATATCTGAACTAAGTAACCATAAAGTCATGAATAGAATTTTAATTATATTTTTTTGACAAGAATTTTCACTTTTATAAAAAAATATTGATTTTTAAAACTAATTTTTAAAAAGAAATGGAATTAATCAATAAAAATAATTTTTAAATTTCCACTATATTTAATTGCAGGAAGTAAATGCTTTGTTTCATAATATTAATAATTTAAAACTATCCAACGCTTTTAATGGCTACCAGTTTACTTTAGATGAGATATTAAAATGAGATGAGATACTTAGAGATATTAAAAAAAAAAGTGTTTTGTTTGTTAAAAGAATAGTGTGTATAAAAACGTATAAAACGTATAAAACTTCATATCCGAACATAATTACTAGAATGTGGTCGAGCTTTCAAATTTAGGTGCATTCCGTCTATTATATGCATATGTTCCATTTTATGCGAATAAATCGTAATGCTTTTAATTATAACGTCCATTTTTTATTGTTTCATTTTCTGCGAAAAGAGAATGTGAATCTCTTGATCATCTTATGGTCATTTTTATACTACCTACCTCACAAGAACATGGAACAAGTCTGATTTCTGACAGATTTAATGTATGCGTAACCAACTGGGTTGTTGGGTGAGATAACTGAGAGAAGACCTCTGATGCACAATCACGAACAATTTAATAAATAAAACAGCTTATTTCGTAGTAAAAAAATTAATTTCTATTTAATAAATAAATAAATAAATAAATAATTCGAAAACATATCCTAACTATGAATAAATTTATTAATATATTTGGTTTTTGGTAGAATCTAACTGATGATCGCGTTACAATTCTTTTGATTTCGAATCCAATTTTTCTGTCAGTCTAGTTAAATCCTGGTGACTATTTATTTCCACTCTTTTTCCAACCAAACGGGCTGTTGGCTATGAGAATGGGAGTAGACAATTGGTACTGGTGCAGGCGCGGCATAAGTAGCAGCAGCAGTTACTTGTGGCAGAGCACGGGAGAGCATTTGTCCAATGGCAAGTACGAGTAGTATAATCTTAAACAAGAGGATATTATTTTCAAAAAGTTTTATAATATTAAGTAAGCCAATATACTTACACCCACGCCCAAGCCTTTCATCGAAACGACTGTAAGAGCAGCTAAGAGTGTTGTGATGACACCAACGACAAATGCTCCAGGAATAACGGCGAAACTTAAACGTTTAAGGAAATGATGGTTAAATGTGCGTCCTTCTATTGAAGAAAGAATATTCTATTAGTAATTAGTATTCTAAATCACTATAAAATTATTGATTTCGTAGTTATACAATTTTTTCTAATATTTGCAATAAAACATTAAATTAAACTACAGCAAAATTTATTATTTATTTAAATATATTATTTATCAAATAGATAATAATAATCAAATAGATCATTTCCTCTCATACACTTTACTAAGGAAGATATTTTCAAGGCACTTTAAATTTGGTTAGTTCTTAGTTTTAGGAATGTGGATATTCACATAATTAATATAAAGTCAGCTTATTATTTCTAAAATTTAGTAGGTTTTAATTGATTAAGTCTTCTGTTAAAATGATACACGATCATAGAACTATGAATTTTGTAATGTAGGCGTTACTACATACCTCAAAAATATGTTTTGTCACAACAGAAACTAAGGCGAAATTATTGTCTATTAATAGATATCTAAAAATATTATGAGAATATGGTGACCTACGACTCCTACGACAAGAAACCAGATGAACGTAAACGCATATGCAAAAAGCGACAAGGAAGTGCAGAATTTATATCAAAGCCCAAGAGTATTTAATCGTATGATTGACTGCAATTATTTTGACGAAAGCTGATTTGAAGTAGTTAAAAAAACTTAAGAACAATGGCGGTACGATAGACATATAACTGGATTACTAACTCAAAAATGTTAAGCTCCTGACAGGAGTGTAGATAATAACAATAATAATAACAATTAGTTTCAATTATAATTGGATTTTTATATTATTTTATCATATTTTTTTTGAAAAAACGTACTAACTCATAAGACAGATAGCAATAGATAACTTAGAATTTTGAACAATTACGTATTAACTAAATATATTCTATCCCATTTTCTGGGTACAACCCCAATGATCTTTTTCAACTTTTCATTTCGAATAACAGATTAAAAATAAAATTTATTTATAATTTTATATATTTCATCGTAGCTTCTGCGAAGTCCTTATTATATATAATTCTTTGTTTAATATATAATATATAATATATATATATATATATAATATATAATATATGTAACATTATCAAAACTAAATGAAGCTTATTCTATATTATTGCCCACACTGTTTACTAATGATACGATTTATTTATTAAATTTTTTCTATGGATATTAATTTCAATTAAATAATAAAAAATATACATTTCCAAAGTGAATTTAAATCTCAAATTTAATAAGAAAATTTTGATTGAATTAGAATCGGAAGTTTTATCAGCACAAAACCTTCAACAACAGCACTACACAAACTATTTATAACGTTTTTTAAATGCAAATCACTTTTTTTTTGATAACACCAATGCCAATATACGAGTATAACGATATAAACAAAAAAGTATCTAGAATTAATTGATTAACAATTTAGTATCTTAAACTGACCAGCGATTTCGGAGGAGCTGTCATTTCCGTTGGTTTGCTGGCATAAGGCTTCATTGAAGGCAAGGCACATGAGCAACGTAGCAATAATAATTCTTTGATTTGCGGCCATCTTGTACTTATTTTTTTTTTATTATCCTTTTTGAAGAAAACAGGATCTATTAATTTGAAACACAGAGCTTATTTGAAACACAATCGAAGCACAAAAAGGAACCAAATTGGTTTGTCGCGACAGTTAATCACCGCTGAATGGTCGTAAAGAATTGACTGAAGTGTGATCGTGTCTTTGGTTTTTTATCGCTTACACCCACGCGTAGTATTTTGATAAAAAGTGTACAAATCAAAACAACAAAATCATGACTTCATGACTTCATTACTTCAGTACTTACATTACTGACCGTCGAATGTCAGCGCTTCATTCACCAACACATGTCCCGCACCGTTTCTCATAATTTTGGACAAAGACGCGGCTACAGTTTGGCGTACGAGAGCAATAGTGCCGTACTGCTTTTACGGCAAAAGAAATTTTGTGTACTTCCCGAACGGTATTGAATGAAAGACCGATTTATTACATTGTCTCGGTTTTCTTGGCTGGGTTAATATGTGCAAAAGACGCAAGCATTAATTACCTGACTTAAAAGGGCTACGGCCAGCGGATATGAAAAGTGTTTTCACTAATCGAAGAAGCATAAATAATAATTCGAATGCATTTCCAATAACAAGACATACATTTTAGTTTTACTATAATTGTAAATTATGGCCTCCTATGGACGTGTTCATAGTTGAGAAACAGTCTCTGCTGATTTTATAAGAATTCTTTCACGCTTTTGAGTTGTAACGACCCACAAAAGAGGGTTACTGAAGTTTAGGTGTGTGCGGTGGCCTGACTCCGTTGCAGCCGTGACCTTACTGGGCACTATTTAGTATCTTTTAAAAATTGCGGTCTCTTTTTGCTTTCATTGATAATATTTTTTTTTTGTTTGAAAAATAATAATAAAATTGTTATGGTTTTTTGGTGTTTTATTGTTTAAAATATTATATGTACATTACAGGCATTTGAGTATTTGAGTATTTGAAACTTACAATCGTAGTTTTCACTCTCTGTTTTTAGTCTTACTTGGTTTCGTTCTCGTTTTTAAAAGTAAGAGTTTTTTCTATAGAAAAAAATTTTCAATTTGTATTGAAGATTGGAAATTATGATTTTCTTTATTTCGATTATTTTTGAATTTAAATAATATAGTTAAAACGAAAGTGTGAACAAATGTTGGGAGAGGCAGGAAGCAACTAACCCTATAGTTAAAGGAATCACGTCGAACAATGAAGTGTGATGATGATTTACAATGTGATAATTCAATTTTCTTAGGAAGATCATGTGAGAAATAAAATGATAATATAGGTAATATTTTTCTTTATTTAGCAACATTGTCTATATACTTCTCTAACATAATGCCTTTCTAGTGAAATAATTTGTGTTTGGCCCCAAAGCAATTGTTAAGTTTCAGCAATTTCTTCATTGTTGGAACTAAATATCTTTCCTTGTAGAATTCTTTCTAGGTTAGCAAACGGGTAGAAATCACTATAATTTTTAGAAAACGATGATGGGAAAGTAGTTTGTAATTATATTTTGTAATTATACTAGTTGATTCTAGTTGATTATACTAGTACAGTATCTTGGATGTTGATCCAAGATCCAGTTCATAAGTAATTCATACATACTGCTTCTGCAATAAACCCAATAATAGATATAGTGCAGTATTAAACACAACAATAATAACTTTTAAACCTAATAAAAAATATTATATTTCATGAAAATTGTAAATGGTTTGAGATTGTTGAAAAACGATAGAGGTGGTGTGAAAGCGGTCATCTATTGCTACCCACTATTATAAAAATTTTCGATTTACGGTTTTACGATTGCCTTTGTTACTTAAATTACGTTTACTTAAAACCTTATATCTACAAATATTCTGGAACTTTCTTTAATTTGGACAAAGAATAATTGCTTGTAAACTATAGTACAAATTTAAAGTATTTATTTGTGTTTAGTGTTGAAAGGACCCAAACTATTTTATGAATTGACATCCTATATTAGAAACGCATACACCAAGCTCGCTAAGCTTTTCTTTGAAAAAATGAAAGTCTAATCATACGTTTATAAACATTAATTCAAAACGGATCTACTTAAATTATTTATCTTTCTATTTTTAATGGATTTACTTAAGAAAAACAAAAACAAGAAAACTTTCTAGATTGCAATTTCAGTTTTGATGTTAAATGCTAAATGCTAAATGCCGCCAACGACTCCGAGCAAATGATCCATTTTATAATCAAAACAGATACATAATAGCGTTGTTTTATACACATATGTTAACATACTAAATTTATCTATATAAATGTATAAAACTATATAAATAAATATATATATATATATATAGTTTATATCTCTATATCTGTATGCATAGAGGATGAAGCAGAACACCTCATAAATTAAACTCAATTGTGGAGTTGACAAAACTTTCACGTTCGATTTATTTGAATTTAATGTGATTTTGCTGGCTTTTTAAAATTATTTCATTCATAAGCATTAAGAGTTTCTAGTAATTTTAACTAATTAAAATGTTGGCTACTAATTATAGAATAAACTAGATTTAATTGTTAATTGTGCAGTGATTAAATGCATAAGACAGAAAAGAAGCGGTGCGAATATGGCTGTACTTCCATGATTGCTTTTGAGCTGTTGGAGCTGTGCTTGCTCCAATGGGTCAATAATGCTTTGATGTACGATTAAAGCTGCTATCTACACTCTACACGCAAATCGATTGCGTTCTTTCAATGAACTCATAAACGTAACCCGTAGACTGCCGCATGTGTTAAAGGACGATTATACTAAGGCAATACATTGCAGTTAATGCAAACAGTCAGTTAGATAATCAAACGGACAAACTGATGGAGAATGATATGTAAAACTGCAGTGAGCATATCAATCTAAAAATGGTTTAATTCTAGAATAATAATAATAAACCTGATTTAATATATCCGCATGACTCTCATACATCGGATAAACGTTCGTAGCCAGAAGATATTTTTTCAATGTTGATTGAAACGTGACCAAAGTGCTGCATCTGAGTTACCTAGTTTCCAGCTATGTGCAAGTGAGCAGCGACTTGCTTGCCACTTTTTCGTTCCAGGTTAGCATTGAGTGCAAGAACTGGTCGATATTGTCTTGCACTGCGGCTGGAATTTCTAGAATTTCTTCGCTTTGTAGTAAACCAATTGCGAGCGAGACACACTTTTATTGCGGTAAGCGGTTTTCTTGGCTTTACATCCTCTCAGCATAGATGTGCAGTTGAAGCACTTGCTCCCAGTGGTTTACAGAAAAACTCAAAAATCTTTGGCTTCTGAGTTGATAAAAGCATCTGTAGTTTCTGTTAAGAGCGCATTTGTTAAAGCTACGTTCCAAAGCTCACACTAAAAGAAAGTGAATATTTATTAGCTACAAAAATTGTGTATTTTGTTTATTTTCTATAAGGACAGCAGCGTTTAGCTTTAATCTTTTGTGCTCAATATAATATGTGCCTAAAATGCATGCGTTAGTGAAATTTATAATAATTTCTTGCACATTTTCGATATTAACGAAAGCTGCAGCGTTTGATGAAACAACAATTAGCGCAGATGAAGATACACTGGAGTTGAACACATATACGGACGACATACTGGACGACGATGAACAAGTAGCAGTGGCAAGTGACAGCAACAATGTGAAGCGTAGTTTAGAGAATAGCGCTGAAGTACACAATGATTATTCAAAACAGCACCATCACTCCGAGTTTAAACGACGCGCGAAGCCACTTAAAAGTATTTTCATGGGAATTTATAAGAACTATAAGAGCACCTACTTGGGTAATAAAACTTTAACGGATTACAAGAACAAATTACGTGAACGCACCGCTGCACCTGATATAACAACTGAATCAGTAATGAAACCAAATACATCCGCGTTAAGTGAAGGAGCTGAAGATAGTAGTTTATTCGAGACATCGACTGAGAACAATGAAGGAAAGCAGGAGTTCGATAGCTACGCAGAATCGAAGAAAAACAACGGCTCTTACGCGTTAAAAACAAAGAAGGCTATTACTGGGTTGACGACACGTAAAATGGAACGAAAACGTAAACGTAAAACACGTAATAAGATAAATAAAAAACAACGTAAGCGTCTTAAGCGCCCCCAACCATTAAGCAATTTCGATCCTTTATTATATGTTTACGATAGCGAATATCACTATAATGTGGGTTCTGGTGTTAATATGACTTTGGATATGAAAAACGATTTAATCAATGTTAACTTGGATACCGATAATCTAAAAGAAATTATTGACGGACGTTGGCTTAACGATAACAGTGAAGAAGGTATCAAAGAATTAAATATCTATTATCTCACATAATATTTATAACTTTTTGTTTGTATCGCTTCATTTATTTAAAGGTCGTGGCAAAAAATACGATATGATTACCAAAGTTTTACCCCTCTTTATATTGCCTTTCCTGATACAATCAGCAATCGTTCCATTTTTGGTGACTAAGCTGAAGCTGCTCGTCATGAAATCCATACTCGTTGGCAAATTGGCTATTTTCTTGCTTATACTCTCCGCCATAAAAAATAATAGTAAATCACCACAAGCTTACGAAGTTGCACCTTCTTACTGGGCTGGCGAGCCAAGTCGTAGATCGGAATTGGCTGCAATCGCGTCCTCTGCAGCTTATAATGGATACCGCGTTGAAGGCAAACCTACCGCTTGGATTAATTGATATCTTATTTGATAATTTCATTTGTGCAATAAAAGTCAGGAGTTTTATTTGTAAGAAAAAATATTGATTTTGAAATTTTCTTGTCCGAGTTATGTTAGAAAAAATTATGAAAATCAGTAATTATTCTGTTTAATGTTGTATTTGTGATATTCGTAAACACTTCAAATAATTCTTTTAATTCCCAACACTCACTTTACGAAATTTTCTTTTAAAATTGGTTTAAAGTAATCAGAGTACAGAACAACGCCGATTTTTTTAGCCGAGTTCCATTTGGAAATACGATAAAGGTGTTCTTTCTTATATAGCCATTTTTGGGGACAGACACAACTGTTTTATGAGACAAATGTAGGAACGTGGGGAGACACTTTCGTCAATTTTATTGATGTTATGAAATTCTTTTATACTCCATTTCGGTAACAATATTGGCAACAATTACAGGAACAACTTATGGTGATTGATACTTATAATTTATTCGATACTTATGGTTTATTAGTTGATAACGATAGGTAATCAGCAAAAACATTTGTTTGTTAAAAATTTATATTGAAAATTTACCGCCATTTTAATGTTAAAACTTGACTTTTTTGTCCAAAATTAATATCTCAAAAGGTTTTGATTTTTTACAACTTTTGACGTGGTTTAACACAACAGCAGTGCATCTGGATACTTATTTCAAATTTTGGTGATGAAACGTCTTCAAGGATTAGTGTACACAATCAAGGATTGCGTGGTCGTACCTCGCTCGTCGATAGTATATGAATACCGAAAAGTTAGTCTAATATCAGTTTCTATACCACAAATTGAAATATTGTCATGTGACATATTTTGAGATTGAGGCTCCTTCCATACATATAACTTTGCAGGAAGATTTGGCCATCAGAAAGTTATGTCCGTGATGTGTCTCCCATATTTTATTCTCGTACTTCAAAGATACAGTTCACGGCGACGATTTCATCGTCAGAAGAAGCTGCTAACGCGTTTAAAAACCATGTTTTTTAGGCACCGACTTTTCTGTGAGAAAAATGGTTCATTAATTGGTTTGAGCGCATGCAAAATTGTATATCTGCATGTTGGAGAAAATTTTATAAACCAACAAAACGATTTCTACTGACAAATTTTTTTTTTGTTTTAACTAAAGACTTACTCAGAGCCCCTCGAAGTACACGTGACACTAGCGAATGGAGTGATATATTTATGAGATATCATCAAAAAGCGTCAAACTTTCGTCAAACTTAAGACTCTCACTATATTTTAAATGAAAATATTTGAAAGAAAATAATTTCCGCACTGCGATGGAAAATAAGGCCCTGTGGATGGGGGAATGACTTTAATGAATGAACCAAATATAGTTTTAAATTAAACTCATAATCTAATTCAGCAATAATAAGCTTATCATCTTAAACTTTTATTTATACGATATTTTAGATTTGTTGATGATTGATTAATTTACTATAAAAAAAATTTGAACTTATCGTTTTTGAATATAAGCTCTACGCATTATTCGTATTATCAAATATATTTAAAAATGGTTTGGTGAAATGAAGAATATTATAATTCTGCTCGTGTCTTTGTGGAATAGTAATTAAATATTATTGTTATAATATTATAGTGATATTAATAGTCATGCGTGAGGAAATTAGATGTGCTCCAGATATCTGGATCCAATCGATTTTGACAGAGTATTAATACTGTTTTATCAGATGATGACGTTTTTGAAAAATGTATTATGAAATATCCGTAATATAAATACTTTCACACGTCTGCAAATTGTTTACATATCGCACACAATTTCTGAGATAAAATTAATTTTGATAGAAGTCAGTAAATGGAGCCGTTAAGCATATAAATAGTTCAGACAAAACGAGTATAATCGTGTTATAATAAACTGTTGTTTTAATCAGTTTCTTATCAACAGTAATTTTAATATTCTTGTTCCTTTTGAGTTATTAGAAAAATCGATTATCGTAAGTTAATAATTATATGATAAAATGTCTTCTATGTTAACAGAGACGAGTATAAATACACATTGTAGTAGTAATGTTTCACATCATTATGTTCATTAGTGTCATTAAGACTTCTAAAATGTTTTATTGTAGTTTATCTAGTGCTTGGTATTGGAAGACATTTCAAAATAAAGTTACTAAAATATTTTGTATTTAATTTGATTTACTGAAAATAAAACTTTAAAGCTTCACTTAACCATCTTAATCGATTGCGTTTTATGGTTTTGCACACTGGGTTTATCTGCATGATTTCGTTAAATACGATTAGATAAGTAATCATATGCGATAATATAGTCACATAATAATATTGAGATATCTTTGTCTTAATAGGCAAATTATAGCAAGGAATATATAAACTATTTCAAGTAGTTGCGTCGCACTTTAGTCTGAAAATAGACTTAGTAGGTGAACGTTCGTAAAATATATAAGTGCATGATATCGCATAAAAAGTTTTAAATTGGAGTGTGTAATAATCTTAAACACAAAATGATTATAACCGCAAAACTTGTGGCTATCATTTTGGGGTTGGCTTTAACGGCCTTTACAGTGTCAACAATTGTTTTGGCGGTACAAAAATCTAACCTCCAGGATGAATTGAATGAAGCAAAGGAGAAGTTAGATATGCTCGAACAAGCTGCGCAGTCAACCTCTACGAGTACAACTACAACTACAACAACAGTGAATACACCCACAGATGGCCCCACAACATCAGTGGCAACGACTACTACTGAAGCACCTGAAAATGTAAACTCAAAGTCATAAACATTCCTATCCAATTCACTTTAATTTTTTTTAAAATTTAAGATTAACTACCGTTTGCCGAGTACAATGTATCCTACAAATTATGATATTTACTTAAACCCAGATCTAGGGAAGTTTAATTTCACTGGCCAGGAATTAATTACAATTACAATCACACAGAAGACTGACCAAATAATACTGCATTCACTTAATTTAGCGATTCAAAGTGTTTACTTGACGGGCGCTGGTAGCAGTACTATCTACGTGAAGAACTTTTATTTGGATCCAGTAAGAGAGTTCCTTGTTATAGAACTAAGTGAAACTTTATCAGTCGGTCGAGTGTTTCGCTTGGGCATTATTTTTGAGGGCGAAATGTTGAATAAAATTGTTGGTTTGTATAGTTCATCATACTCGAAGGAGGATGGTAGTAGAAGGTAAAGCACTGTGAAGGCAAAGCTGTTGGTTGTTGACAGATTATAAAAAATTTTGTTTATTTACAGAACCATTGCAACATCGAAATTCGAACCTACCTATGCGCGCCAAGCTTTTCCATGTTTTGATGAGCCAGCAATGAAAGCAACTTTTGAAATTACTTTAGTGCATCCAAGTGATAATGGTTACCATGCACTGTCCAACATGGATATTGCGCAGGAATTGAATCAAGGACTCTATAAAGAGGTCTATTTCAAGAAGAGCGTTGCTATGAGCACATATTTAGCTTGTTTCATTATATCTGATTTTGCTCATAAGAGCGATTCCATTGAGACACATGGCATTGGCGACCCGTTTGAGTTGCGTGTGTTTGCTACCCCCCAACAAATCAATAAAGTAGACTTTGCGTTAGATGTGGGTAAAGCCGTGATTGAATATTATATTGACTACTTCCAAATTGAATACCCGCTACCAAAATTAGGTAAGCATTTAAACGTGTGTTTAATTATAAAATATTGATGAGAGATAATGTACTCTTATCGGATATAAATATAAGCGATTTTATTTATTATATTTAGTATTTATTTATTATATGTATTTATTATTATTTATAGATATGGCAGCTATTCCAGATTTTGTTTCGGGTGCGATGGAACATTGGGGGTTAGTAACTTACCGGGAAACTTCGTTACTCTACGATGAAACAGTGAGCTCTTCAGCGAATATGCAAAGAGTCGCTAGTGTCATTGCCCATGAGTTCGCACATATGTGGTTTGGTAATTTAGGTAAGAAACTCATAGCAGACTGTAAGTAAGACTGCAACTATTAGGTTATAATACTCTATCGCGCCTTTTCAAAACGGTGTATATTTTGTGTTTTAGTTACTATGAATTGGTGGAACGATTTATGGTTAAATGAAGGTTTTGCCAGTTATATTGAAAACAAAGGCGTTAATGCAAAATTCCCGGAGTGGAATATGGTGAGTTTTAATCATACTCCAAATCTGTATTCTTTACTGTAAAGAAAGATGTAAAGAATTTTTGATTTAATTATTTTAACTTATATATTATAAAATGTATTATTATTTTAGTTAGATCAGTTTATTATTGGAACCTTGCATGGTGTGTTGAGTTTGGATGCCACACTGGGTTCTCATCCCATTATACAAGTGGTTGAGAACCCCGATCAAATCACTGAAATATTTGATACAATTACGTATTCGAAAGGTTCTTCTATTATTCGTATGTTAGAAGGTTTTCTTGGTCCTGCTATTTTTCAACAAGGTGTTACAAACTACTTAAATAAATACAAGTTCGCTAATGCTGAAACCAAGGATTTTGTGACTGAAGTAAATAACTTAGTGGATTATAATGTGGAGGATATAATGCGTACCTGGACCGAACAAATGGGTTTTCCAGTTGTGAAAGTCACACAAACCTCACCCACTGAATTGAAATTGAAACAAGAGCGCTTCTTTTCTAATCCGGATGATTACAATGGGTCTTACGATGATTCGCCTTTTAAGTGAATATCTTTTAAAATTTATTTGATGATAATTTTTTTAAATATTTTATTTTATATGCAAAAATGATGTTGAATATTTTAATTACAATTACTTTCTTTTGTTTAGTTACACCTGGTCTATTCCAATTACATACAAGACTAGCAGTGCAGCAGAATCGGTGTTAGTATGGTTCAATTACGACCAAGAAGAAAGTAAGTGTCAGAGAAGTGAAAAACTCTAAAATTCGCGAACATAAGTCAAATTGATCTTCATTTATTTGCAGTAACGATTCAGCTGCCAAGTGCTGTCAATTGGGTAAAGCTTAATAGCGATCAAATAGGTTACTACCGCGTAAATTATGAAACCGCAATGTGGGATAACTTGGCCAATCAGCTGGTTAATGATCCAACTGTAAGTCACTGTATTAGTAAGAATTTATTTTCAGCTGTTATATTATTCCTTTATTTTCTATTGTAGGTCTTTACTATTGGTGATCGTGCCTGTTTATTGAATGACGCATTCGCATTAGCGGATTCAACACAACTTCCTTATGACGTTGCTTTGGATATGACAAAGTATTTGAGCAAGGAGGCAGATTATGTACCATGGAGTGTTGCTGCTAGCAAATTGACATCCCTAAAACGTACACTTATGTTTACGGATGTTTATTTGGACTATATCGATTATGCCAGAGAACTTATAGAACCCATATACGAAAGCGTTACATGGACAGTAGGAACGGATCATTTGAAAAAGTATTCCATATTAAGCATACAATTTTTCAATTATGCGATCAATAAAATTTCAGTCGTTTACGAGTTACGGTGCTGAGTGCTGCCTGTTCACTTGGCTTGAAATCTTGTTTGACGGAAGTTTCCAATGAATTCAATGATTGGCTTGCTAATGATGCTCAACGTCCCAAGCCAGATGTGCGTGAAATTATTTATTTTTACGGAATGATGGAAGAAGGCAATGAACAAACCTGGGAACAGATATGGGAGTTGTTTATAACTGAAACTGATGCTAGTGAAAAATCAAAACTTATGTACGGTCTTAGTGCAGTCCAGGTTCCATGGATATTAAGCCGGTATTTACAGAATACATTTTAAAATAAAAATTTTTACCTGTTGTAAATATTATTTAGATCAAATAATATTATTTAGATTAAATAATATTTGTGATATTATTTTATATATTTTCTAAAAATTATTTTTTATTCTACACATATTAGGTATATTGATTTGGCCTGGAATGAGAACTACGTACGCAGTCAGGACTATTTCACTTGTCTACAGTATATAGCTGCTAATCCGATTGGAGAGCCAATAGTGTGGGAATATGTACGTGAAAATTGGCCTAAATTGGTTGATCGATTTGGGTTAAACGAGCGGTATTTGGGTAATCTGATACCATCGATAACAGCACGTTTTTCAACTCAAACGAAATTAGAAGAAATGGAATATTTCTTTGCTAAATATCCAGAAGCAGGCGCAGGCACAGCTGCACGAGTGCGAGCTTTGGAAACCGTCAAAAACAACATAGTATGGTTAGAAAATAATCGCGATAAGGTTGCGAATTGGTTGGAGGATCAAAAGAAGCACGTACAAATTTCGTAATGAATTTAGTATTTAATTAATAATAAATATTTTTGAACAAATTTATTGCAAATCAATAAACTCAAAACACACAAAAATTGAATGAAGGCGTTTGTTTATGTGTTTCTTTATGACTCTTTTATTTTATAAATTCATTACACTTGCCAAATACAATAGTTTTCCGATAAGATATACCATATTATCCAAGTTATAGATTCCAAGGTAATTTCCTTCTTTTGCGTCTGATAAGCTAATTAGTTGGCTGACAACCGCATTACCACTGATGTGTGTTAAGCGTTAAAAGATAAGTACTGCGAAAATCGATAAGCTGGTATAAATAGTATGCCTAATCGGAAGGGTGTGCGTCTCTTCCTTCTGCATTGCATTAACGGAATTTGATGAATTATCTAATTTTTAACAATACTACTTTATATATTTAGTAAATACGTAGATACATTTCTTAAAATTTTTGATATATCATTATTACGTGAATATTTTTGTATTGAAAGTCCGTAAAATTGTTGTAGTTTTCTTGGTATTGTCAAAAATAATTCTGCATTTGTGTAAATTCATATGTTAATATGAATGGAAATAGTATGATGGTTTTCCTCACAAAGTTGTTTTATAAACAGTTTTACTTCGTTTATAAAATTTACCATTCGTGACAAAACCAACTTTATTGTAGCTTGTAGAAACTTTCCCATGATTTTGGCTTTAGTATCATTTAGATCAGTTGCTAGATCGTATAGCTAAACAACTCAACTGCTAGAACTTCTATGTATCTCTAGATAACTAGTTATCATCAATATGTTGATAAACAACGGAGTTGCCACTTTCTTAAATAATTGCTGACTCGTCAAACAACACTCGAAAAATAAAGCATTAACATATATACATATTATTTCCCTATGTAAGCAAGCGAATTTATTCTATAAGGGGTTTTTGAAACTTGCGGTTTTTGGAAACGTTCTCTTGTGTCGCGATGGCTTGCATTTTTTTTTCAAACATTTTCACGGAAAACATATTTTTTAGATACTTATGCAAAGTAATGGTTAAATGATGAAAATGACTACATACAGGAGTTCAAAACCTTTCATGTCAGGTATTCTAAGTAAGAGTAAAGATCAGTAAAATATTTTATTTACTAAAAGAAAAGATCAGTAAAATATTTTATTTACTAAAAGACACTTCTAATGCTGAACAGAAATGGCATCCGACTTGTCACAGGGTTTCTCATTGGACATTGCAGAGTTCTTGCTCTTACTAGCATCAGTCGAACTTAGATATTACAAAAGACGACAGCTGCAGAGTTTGTTGCGATAAAGAGGAAACAGCAGAACACATTTTGTGTCACTGTGATAGACTCGCCAGACTCAGACTTCGGTACTTATCAATTGCCTATCCACTTATAACGGAATTAGGCAACATCTCGCTAAAGGATATAATGGCGTACTTAACTGCTATTCGTCTATGTAACTGAAGTGGGTATGTCACAATTAACCTCAAAGGATGCAGTAACGTGGTGAGAAGTTCCCAACCCGTTTTAAAATCTAATCTAATCTAATCTATGTATACCTTATTAATCATCATCATCTCATAACTTCGTTATCTCGATCGCGGAGATCTTTGGCGATCTGCAAATGGAAAACATATAAAAATTGATGTCTTATTTACGGGAAAAATGAAAAACAGAATGTTGGCCTGTATAGCAGCATGTATCTAACAAAAACTGAAAAACGCAGGTAAATAAGTGATCGGCCATCCATAAGAAAGCTCTATAGCATCTTTGAATTAATAAAAATTCAGCCAGAAATTATGCAGTACAATTTGAAAAGAACTCATATTCAAGTTCAAAGTGGAAGTATTGATGCTAAAGGAATTGGAGACAATTTCCAGATCCGAGTTTTGCCACAGTTTACCAACAAAGTGAATAAAGTAAACTTTGCTCTGACCAATGTTGTAACCATAACTGAATTCTATAACAGCTGGAAGAAATAATTCTCCAGTTGTGGAGGTCAGACAAAGCTCACCTACTGAGCTTACACTGAAATAATAGATCTTCTCTCCAAATCCGGAAGACTACAGTGGGTGTTTCGATGATTCACCTTTTAAGTAAATGTTTTTAAAAATCATTCAATCAAAACTACTTAAATAAACGAGTTTGGTGGATAATCTAACGTACTATGCATAGCCTATTAGTTCTTGTTTTTCACTACGATGTGAGATTTTATAAATGAGCTTTGGCAGTAGTATTTACAATTATTTCAGGATATTTAAATCAAGGGGAGATTACGTAGATTTCAGAACGCAAGATATGTTCAACAAAATAGAATAGGCAACTTCTCTCCAAAGGACATAATGGTGTTCTTAACTGTTATGGAATTAAAGTGGGTATGTCTCAATAATCCTCAAAGGATACAGTGACGTGGTGATAAGTTCCCAACCCATTTTTTTAAATATAATCTTAAAATCTAAAATAGAGTTCGAAATTCGTTACAATTCTGTTGTTTTGTGTTTGTTAATTAACCAGTCATTTAACGCATCTTCTCGTATTTAATTCCAAAATTTAATTATTATTTGCCTTTATTTTTTTTTATTAACGCGTCGAAGAATTCCGAAAATTCTGCTTCGCGAAGAGTAGATCACTGCTAATAATAAAACCACAAAAAATAAATAAATTTGTTTGCTTATATATTTCTTTACGACATTCCCATTTTATGAATTTATTATTTAGTATTAGTTAAGTTATACACCAAGTCCAATACTAATCGCACAAATTGATGCGTTTTCATTAAACACCAGGTGTTGGTCTTTGCGACTTAATCAATGTCATTTCCTTGGATTAACTGATAAGCGTTATGGATACCGCATTAGCTATGGTATGCGTTAGGCCTTTGGCGTGCGAGGCACTTTAACTCTGCGTCGATAAATAACTACTGTAAATCGCGATAAACTGGTATAAGTAGTGTACCTAAGCACGAATTTTCGCTTATCTGCTGATAATGATAAGAAACACCTTTTTAATTTATATACAATTAGTCGATTGGCAATTTGTATGCCAGATTTCGTATTCAGTATCGATCTGTGTGCTAAAGTGTAAAATACGAAAATCACAGATAAACACAGATAAGCTTTTATATAATAAATTCGTAAAAATTGTTTAAAACACAATGAAGATAGGGGCTACCAAACTACAAACCGCCCTTTGCTGGGGGATCGTGGCTTTTGCGGTAGCTACCATTGTGCTCGCGATACAAAATGCAAAAATCAATGCGGATTTGAAAGATGTGAAAGAGAAACTCGACTACTTGGAGTCGCGACTGGAAGGCGAAGTACATCCCCGAAGTGTTCGTGCACTACTGTCGAATGATGATACCGAAGAGGTGAGTGCTTCTAATTAAGGCATAGATCCTGTGGTAATTTTCATATTAATGAAAATGTTCAAATTCCATGAAAGAAATTTGAAAAATCGTATCCATTTTTTATGTAAATTTCAACATTCAAATACTGAGTAAAATAGCATTGGTCACAATTGGCTATCACGGACAGTATACGAATGTCAACACCGAACAAAAATTCCAATTATTCTATAATTGGCGAGTTTGTATAGGGTGTTAATCACTGTGTAAACGTCAATTTTGTGAAAATATTAAGTGGATAGTTCTCTCATATATACGGTGCATATGTCAACCGCTGGATTCATTGTTATACTTTAACTATATGTAGTTCAAGTGTAACATTGATTTCGATATAATCTCGCTATTATTATATTGATATTTAGAAAAATATATTTGAAAACTATCCCAATCTAGGATTAGGATTCAATCGTCACCTGAAAACTGAGTGAATTATATTGTTTAAAATCCACAATATTTTTTTTTCAGATAGATTACAGATTGCCATTAAGTCTTGCTCCAACACATTATGATTTGTATTTGCATCCCGATATTGAAAATGAAATATTTACGGGTCAGGAACTCATTGACGTCACAGTTTATGAAAACACAAAGCAAATAATTCTGCACTCTTTAAATTTAAACATACAAAATGTTTACGTTACGAGGTCTGGAAACACTTTGGAGATTGAAAGCTATTACCTTGAAACCAAAAGGGAGTTTCTTATAGTTAATATGGAAGAGGATCTACTACAAGGAATGAAAATAAAAATCGGCATCTTATTTGCGGGGGAAATGAAAAATAAGATTGTTGGCCTGTATAGCAGCACGTATCTCACCGAAACTGAAGAACGCAGGTAAATCATTAATCGTTCAAGAAATCGTTAACAAGAAAGCTCTGTAAGCTTTATAGCATCTTTGAATTAATAAATGTCAGCCAGAAAATATGCAGTACAATTTGAAAGCAACTCAAACCTAAGTTAATATACGTTCTTAGCACATATATTGCAGATATGTTTATAGAAATATCTTACTTATAAATATATATACATATATACATTATTTATTATTTTAATCTAATTTAATTGCACTTTAAGAGCTATTGCTACATCGAAATTTGAACCCACATATGCACGTCAAGCATTTCCGTGCTTTGATGAGCCTGCTATGAAGGCAACTTTTGAAATCGTTTTGGTACGCCCAACTGAAGATGGATATCATGCGCTTTCCAACATGAACGAACTGGTAAAACCATAAATTTTGATATTATATTTCCATATTAAATAGCCACGGTTTATCAGAAATCTGTAGCCATGGGAAAATATACCGAAACTTATTTTGCAAAAAGCGTTGCGATGAGCACTTATGTTGCTTGTTTTATTGTTTCTGATTTTGCGCACAAAACTGAAAGAATCGATACGAAAGGAGTTGGAGACAATTTCGATATCCGTGTTTTTGCCACAGCTCATCAATTGAACAAAGTAGACTTTGCTCTGACCACTGCTGTGGCCATCACAGAATTCTACATCAGCTATTTCAAAGTTCCATATCCACTTCCTAAGTTGGGTGAGTCCTTGCTACCGGTAAAAAAAGAACAATTTACTTAATATAGTTTTTCATTGGTTTTCATTTAGATATGGCAGCCATTCCAGATTTTGTTTCAAACGCCATGGAACATTGGGGACTAGTGACTTATCGTGAAACTGCACTTTTATATGACAGCAGTTACAGTTCAACTTGGAATAAGCAGCGAGTTGCAGTTGTTGTCGCCCATGAATTAGCACATATGTGGTTTGGTAACTTAGGTAAGGTAATATAATTTTATTGATAATCTTTTCGTATTTTATATTTCAAAGTTAATTGTTTACTACCATATATAGAAGAAAAGTTATGGAGATAACGATAAACTTCGTTTAGCACCTAAAAGAAATTTTAATGCCAATATATTCGAATGGCAGATACTATCTGTTCCTTCATTAAACTGTTACGCTTTAAAATGCTTTTCTTTTACAGTTACTATGATGTGGTGGAATGATTTATGGCTAAATGAGGGTTTTGCAAGATATATGGAATACAAGGGAGTTAATGAAGTATACCCCGAATGGGGAATGGTTAGTTAATTTAAGTATATGTTATTTGACCATAAAAATTACTAAACACTCATCATATTACTCAGCTCAATCAATTCTTGATACATGCTCTACATAGTGTAATGGCTTACGATTCTTCAGTAGCTTCTCATCCTATTATACAAACTGTAGAGACTCCAGATCAGATTACAGAGATATTTGATACAATTAGTTATGAAAAAGGAGCTTCTGTAATACGTATGTTAGAGGATGTTACAGGAGAGAAGTTCGAAGCAGCTGTTACTAGTTACCTAACACATTTTAAATTTCTTAATGCAATCACGGGCGATTTTATAAGAGAACTTGAGTTACAGGAATTGGATTTTGATGTGGAGTAAACTCCTTGAATATTTGATTGTGGCTTCCAAAACTTAATAATTTAATTTTTAATTTTGTATCGTTAGACTTTTTATGCGCACGTGGACAGAGCAGATGGGTTTTCCGGTTGTTGAAGTTATTCGTACCACATCCACCACATTCAGACTAACACAAAAGAGGTTTTTCAGTAACATTGAGGATTATAATGCAATTTACAATGACTCAGTTTTTAAGTATGTTTAGACTTATATTCAAGACAATAAAAGTTTGATGTATTTGTACACAGCTACACATGGAGCATACCTCTTACATATTATACTGATCTCGACTCAAGTACTATTGAACGTAGATGGTTCAACCACGATGAGTCTATTGTGGAAATAATGGTTGATCCAGAAATAAAGTGGATTAAGATAAATGTAAATCAAGTGGGCTTTTACCGTGTCAACTACGCTGACAATACTTGGCATGAAATAATTGCACATTTGACTGCCACACCAGAGGTAAGCTGTTGAATCTAGTAATCGATCTCATAAAAAAATTGGATTCGTGTACTCTTACAGACGTTTAGCATTGCGGATCGTGCACATTTACTAAATGATGTTTTTGCTTTAGCTGATGCCAATCAATTGAGTTACGATATTGCATTGGACATGACTAAATATTTGGAAAAGGAAAACGATTTTGTGCCATGGTATGTGGCGGCAACAAAGCTTCAATCTTTGCAGGTAATAATAGACATTCAAAGCAATTTTAGTTTTATTTTTCGATTTTTCCAATCCTAGGTAAGCTTAAGATATACTGATGCGTATATCGATTACTTGGCGTATGCTCGAAATTTGTTGGATAAAATCTATTCACAAGTTACTTGGGAAGTAAAAGAGGAAGACCACTTAAATAAGTAAGTTGGATTCACTTTTACAGATTATAGCGGTGATAACTTTCTTATTCAATCGTAACTTAGTCGTTTACGTGTAAGCGTGTTGACTGCCGCTTGTTCGCTTGGTGTGCCAGATTGTCTCAACGAAGCCGCTACCAGATTCACCAGTTGGCTCGCAATACCTGAAGATAAACCTCATCCAGACTTACGTGAGATTGTGTACTATTATGGTATGCAGCAAATAGGAAAACAGGAACATTGGGACAAAATGTTGGTGATATATTTGAAAGAGCAAGACGCTAGTGAGAAGATCAAATTGATGTATGGTCTGTCAGCAGTACGCATACCTTGGCTACTATACAGGTGAAGCATAGGTTCATATAATTTCAAATAAAAGGAAATAGTGTTGTATTTTTTAACATTTTAGCTTTATTGAATTAGCCGAACAGGAAAAATATGTACGACGGCAAGATTATTTCACATGTCTACAGAATATCGCTACAAATCCAATCGGCACACCTATAGTATGGGAGTTCGTACGTGAAAATTGGTCAAAGCTAGTTGATCGTTTTGGTTTAAATGAGAGATATCTTGGTCGTATGATACCATCTATCACACAAACTTTCGACACTGAAACCAAATTAGAAGAAATGTCAGAGTTCTTCAATAAATATCCTGAAGCTGGTGCGGGTGCAGCGTCGCGTAAACAAGCTTTGGAGACTGTCAAATATAACATAAAATGGTTGGCAGAAAATAAAGATAAGGTGGCAACATGGCTAAATTCTCAAAGATAATTACGTACTAATAAAAATATTTTGTGAAATTAAAATACAAAACCAGAACAGTAATAAATCTGTATAATAAGACGACAACGATTGTGTTTGATAAAAGTCACTAATTGTACTATTTTGGCAATAAATTTTATTTGAGAAATATTCATGTGTTATTTAAAATAAAAATAGTTAAGAATATTAACAAAACGAAAATCCCACCACACTAGAGCCCTATATTTGAGAGGCCTATATTGAGAGAGCTATATTTATTTTTAGTGCACTATAGTAATTACTTTATGTCGTTAATGGCATTGGCCTAATAGGAAGATCAGTAACAGAAATGCAAAATGTGTTTTTAAGAGCAGACAACAGTTCGAAATGAAACTTAACAAAGGACTTAATATCGAATACAAAACGAAAGTGCTGTTGTCAGCCAAGGAGCAGATTCCTACCATCGACTATTGAAAAGTAAATAATAATTTTGATTAATGACTGCGATTTAAACATCCAAGAACGAATCAACAATAACCCCTGCAAATAAATTCTTCTATATTGATAACACTCAGTATATTCCTGTTTAAGATCCAAGGCAATTCCTCGCCCAATATGTGTTTATGAATGTGAAACTTCATATATTATCTTGAAATAAATTGTCTTTAAGAAACAGGCACACAGACAGATACGGCGTAAGAGTGCAAACAGCACGGTACCAATTGAAATATCTGAGAATTAAATGGATGGCCTATGAAGAACCACAATCAATTTCTCAAAAATTATGACTTAAATTGCAAAGAAAAAATAATTATGAAGAGTTTCCAATATCGTTAGTTTGTGGGGTGAAAAATAATTTGAGACAACTTGATGTTAATGACTCGGAAGATTGTATTTGAATTGTATAGTCCATGAGGTATAAGAAGTTTTTTTAAGGTCATAAAACAAAATTTAATGTAGTACATTAAGCTATTAAGTTATTTATAATGACCAATATATTTTTTATGGGCATAATAGTACAAAACCTTAAGATTGTGAACATTTTGCTTAGGTTATTTAGATAAAATGACTTATATTTGATAAATATGTCTGCAGTTCGATTAGATGGTCATTCTCTGAGTACATAATGGTATATTTCAGATCTTACAATAGTTTTTTTGTTGTTCATAGGCTCGTAATAAAATATCGAAGATAGTAAAAGAGCTCTAATAAACAATATAACTAACAACAGAATATATTCATATAAAGTTTAAAAATGGTTTTTTGATACTTTTTTATTAGTACGATTGAATATATTTGCTCAACATAAGTATCTAAACCGCACTATAATGTAGGAAATGGTGAGCTTGGTCACCTTTTATCATACTGTCTAGATGGCTTCTATGTTATGTGTTCTTTGAAGAGATTATCTTTTTGAACTGAGTTATTTCGAGTACATCTAATAGTGATAAAAAAAAAGAAGACTAAAACTGAATAAAGTAAATGTTAGTAAGAAAATACAGGATAGTTATAATAAACTTTGAGATGGTCTAAATACTCTAGAGTATTTTGACAGTTTTTAGGCTTTATTCCTTGAAAATGAAATAATTTAGTTAAAGCTGTAGGTGTTGACGTAGTCGGGTATATACCGCTGTATATGAGTGATTTTATTTTTAATTTTTTTTGTTATCTTTTTCCAGTTTACAATATCCTGGATATAACATTGACTTTTAATTCCTTTTGAGTGGATTATGCTATGTAGCGAAAGATTCATTTTTCCTAATATTAAGTATTCTTGAGTGAGTCTGGTATTGGTACCGATCTCGATAAAAATATAAAATATAAAATCACAACGTAGTTCCACGTTGGTAACAAGTTTTTGACAGCTGAAGTGTCGTCCCTTACTATAAACTGCGTTATTTGAGATCTTTGTCCGAATATTGGAATAAATTATTTGGAATTGTTTTTTCTGAATTTTGAATATTATGTATATCGTGCTGATGATTGGGTAATTTGTTAATATTTCTGTTTATTTTGGTAACCTTTACTGAACTAACTTAAGTAGACAATTTTGCGGTGAGGCCAATAAAAACTATAAAATACGATCAATTGCGATAATATCGATAAAATTCATATAAGTGCAATAAAAAAATTATTATTAAATTATTTGTACTTTGTTTATTTATAAATTAATAAATACATAACACATGATAAAAGTTGTGCGTTTAGGTATTGTAAATATCTTTTTCAAATCAAACAATCGAAGTACAACAAATAATTTCAGCAAATCAAAAAAGCATACAAAATTAGATTTAGATACAATTATTTCATTTAGTAAAGAACTTAAGGTCTAACGAATAGCATGTAGATTTGAGCTTAAGCTATTCAGTGTGAATGACCTAATTCTAAAGGACTACTGTTATATTAGTTTAAATTTTGTATATTATTTTCTGAAATTGTGATAAGTGTAGTTGATAAAGGATACAAATGGCTTGTATGTGTGAAGTATACTTTCTACATATATTTGAAAGAAAACAATATGATTTAAGATATATAAAAGACTAAATATTTCACTATTTAAAATAAATATACATAATTCTTATTTCATAATCTTTATTTAGTGTTTACTGCCAAAACTGTGGCAATCTTATTATCACTCGCCACAATTGCATTCTGTGTTTCGACGATTGTTCTGGCAGTACAAAAAGCTGACTTGGAGGAACAGCTACAAGATGCATTAGATAAATTGGATTTAATATCAACAACTGCTCCAGCTGTTACAACTCCTTCAAGTACTAGTACTAGTGGATCATCAGTATCGACAGTCTCAGCAGATCCAACAAGTTCAACAGTTTCAGATGGTCCAACAGATCCCGATAATCCATCGACTCCGTCAAGTACCATAAGTACAACAACTACTTCATCTGGAGTTTCAAATCCAGAAGATAATCCAAACTATCCAACATTACCAACTGATTTACCTAATCCTGAAGATGTAAGTATTTGTTAAGTGATTAGAAAATTATAATTTGAGCAGACTTTATAAAAGTACTCTATATGATACATAACAATTTTAGTTTCAGTTTATTGATACTATATATCAGATTTTATGTAGATTCTCTCTATATATGGATTGATTCTGGTAAATTGTCTGAAATATCAGTTTATCTGAATTTGTTCAGATGTTCATAGTGTTGTTAAATTATGTTAGCTGGTTTCTTAGTAACTAATCTACTGATAGTTTGGTCTTTATAGTAGTTTTAATAATAAAAATTGTCAATATATAAGAGTTCTCACAGAAAAAAGTATTGTAACTATGGCAATATTTTTATTGAAGACTTACGTAATACTGTTCTGTCCTCTAAGAAATATTATGTGTAATATATATTAGAATTAAGTTTAGTTTAAGTTAACTTTAAGTTCGGTTAAGTTTCCTGACTTCATTTGATTTGATTAGAGCTAGACAGATATATTAGTTGTATCTCCTGATAATTACATATAGTATCGCTCTAATATTTTTTAAAATCTACAGCTGTCACCATATTCAACTCTTATCTTTATAAAGTTAAACTTATACGTTTTATATTCTATTTGAAACTGTATTATTAATCAGTTCAGGATAAAAATCTTATAAGGATTTTTGTTAGTAACTTATATTGACTTTGACTTTTGACTTCACTTTATGTTAATTAAGTTTTAACTTAAGTTTTTAGTATGCGATAAGCAAATATGAAGTATTTTATGGAAGCGTATCATTCTTTTCACATATTTTAAAAGTTTTATGGCTCACTCGATTTCATTAAATTAAAAATTTGAAACGTTTTGTAAAAAATATAGAAGAGATCGTAAAACATTATACGATAGTCTTTTGCGACCCTATAATGCTTTACCACTTCAAAGAATAATGTCCCCTATTCCACATATTCTACAAAAGTTTTATACTCGCGACTTACAAAATTTCAAAATAGATGTGATAACTGTGCTGTTTTCATTGTTTTTTGTATTTTAAAAAGATTTAAAATGAAAAAAGATCATAATAATAATAATATATAATTAAATTTCAAAGTTCAAAGATTATCAATTCACAAGTATTATTTATTTGTAAACCCTTGGGATTTTTTTGAGTTCCTTATAACCATTCCCTCCTGCTCTGAATTCCACTACATCAACTTTGCGGTATCTGAACTTTATGAAAGTTTGACTGATAATCGAGTGTAGACTCTTTATGATTATTTTATTACGTGCTTCCTAGGTACTTTGTGCTTTACTGCTTACGTTTACCTATATTTCGAACTTAACCAATAAAAGAAGAAAGACTGTTTATAATACATGGTTCCTATTCTTTTTCTTTCGTACAATTACAGTCCTCAGTATACCTCGATAGTACTCGAAATCAATGTGCTTTATTTTTTTGGATTTTAAGCAATGATTTTTCAAGCTTGTCTTTGTGGATAGGTTGGTAATATCGATATTTTGATATTATTTACTTTATATACTAAATGACACATTTTGTCATAAATAAGTTTCGGCTTACAAAGCTTAATTTATAAAATGAATTGAAAATGAAAATGGATGCACTGAACAAACCGTGTACAAAAGCTCTCTAAAAGCTTTTTTTGATATTTTGAAAACAAAGAAACTCCTTCTAAAAAAATATCTTAAGATGAAAAAGTGCTTTAATGAAACAAGCACAAGCTTAACGAATTAAGAATACAAACACTCTGAAATGACTCATTAAAAATGACTCATTAAAAATGAGTCATTAAAGGTCAATAAGAACGTAGTATAAAGAAGGATAATTAATTAAGTGTTGATACTATAAAATGTATGTGCTTAGTTTATATGTACATAATTGAAACATTAAAAGTGTATGTCTCATGCAATTTGAAAAATTAAGTATTAAAAAAAATATATTTTGATTACACTTCTCTATCATTTTAAATTATATAATCTAATGTAAACGATATATATATCTTTTTATTGTTTGGGTTTAGACCACTGATATCTTTGGGTTTCCATACGGTCAAATTTTACAGTCTTTTTGATAAATGATTTAACTTAGTCATTTAAAAAGTTGTCGGTTTATTTGTACTAATTAGTTTTTATCAGAACAATTAAAACTCGATAATAATTTAAGCAAAAGCGATAATTAAAATGATTAAAATCGCTTTATGAGTTCCTAAGCGAGATTGTCAGAATTTAATTTGATAGTAGCAAATACTTTAGTCTTTCGAAGTAAACGCGTGGGATACGTATCACAGTAGCTGCAGTAGGCAAAATAGTACAAATGGGGTTTGATATAAAAAGTTAGTAAATTGCAAAGATTTTCTATCAGAATGAAATATTATAGATACTTCTTTAGGTTACATTACCGTTAGACGAGTGGCGATCTTTTTTGGTTTGCTCTCAACGGCATTACTAGTAGCTACAGTATGTTTAGCTGTGGACAACTCAAATATGTCGCAGAAATTTAAAGAATGTAATCAAAAATTGGATGTTTTCGAATCCTTTATTCAGTCTTTATCCACAACAACAACATCAATAGTAACAACTACAACTGCCACAACATCAGAGTCAACAACTGCACCAGAGACTTCAGCGAGTTTTCGCAATTTGCTCTAGTTTTTAAAGATGAATTCTTGTGAGGACATTTCAGTAGCCGAAGTTAAAGTATTTGTTAACTTAAGTTCAATAAAGATAATTTACCTATTATTAGTTTAAAGTTAGTTGTATACTTAATTACATTCAATTTCCAATAAAATTTATTACACAACCAACGAAAATATTAGTTATAAATTTTCTTCGATAAAATGTTTTTTATTATCGATGCATTAATTTTTTATAGTTTTCGCAATTTTTTTTATAATTTTTTTTAATCGAAGCGTTACACGTTGTTTTACCATAGGTTGTTTACTTTCTGCCCGGTGATATAATACCAATAAAATATAATATATATGTACATCCTGATTGGACAACTAAGACCTGCGAAGGCTATGTCTCAATTCAAATAGAAATCAACAATCCAACAAATTTGCTTGTATTGCACGCAAAGAACTTGGAGATCGGAGAAGTGACCATACATCATATGATGACCCGAATGCGCATACGTGTCAAGGACATTTACTTGAAGCCTGAAAAAGAAATGTTGTTCATTGAATTGCATGAACTTTTGTATAAATCACCCTACACGGTTTCAATACATTTTGTCAGTAATTTGGACGGCTTATCAGGGATGTATGCGAGCAGCTACACTACGACTGAGGGTGAGGAGAGGTAAGTTATTTGTAGATTTAAATATATATTTGATAATCAAAAAACAAGAATGTGTAGGGTGCGATTATTACATGATTAACAAATGTAATCAACTGTAATAATATAAATAAAATCACATCATTTTAAAAGAATTGACATTTACATTTATCAATTGATTAAAATTGTACATTCCATGATCTATATGTGTTGCACAAATACTCTTGTATTCAATTAAAAGCCAAGAAATGGAATTATAAAAATACTTTAAGTTATTTTGAATTCATTTTTTCTTTGGTGAGCAAACTTTTACATTACATATTCCATGCTTACATACTAAACTTTAAAGTATTCCAAAATGTTTTATATTTCTACTAGAAAAATACTAAAATGTTTATTTCTATAGCTTTACGAGAACAAGATAAGAAAATTAATAATATTAATTGAATTACATTTTCGCATTTTCACACAACTTTGAGTTCTTTTGTTATTAACTTTGTGATCGCGCACTAAGCGATCTCGTAACTGATCTCTGCTTCAGGGCTTGAGTGTTAAGTTGCTTAATAGAATAAACATTATTCTGAGAATGTAATAGTTTTAATTAATAAAACCGGAATAAACTGCATATATCGTTTTTTGAGTATCAGTAGAAAATACTTCAATTAATTACATATTAACATTAAAGATTTAAACTAATTTTATTCTAAACCTGTTCTAAACCTATGTAACAAACAAACTGTTATAGGAAGAGTTATTGTTACTTCCTAAAAGTCATGGATTACATAATAAGATTGTTAAAGTTTGTGTTGGAAACTGGCTGGTTTATTAGACGACGTAGAGAAGGTCATGTAAGTGCACCAATGTTATTACAATGAGCCCTAACGAATTGTAATATGAGTCCCAAGACCTATTATAGTGGAACTGTCAAAATAATAATATTCATACAATTTTTAATAAAGTTTATGTTGGTACTATAAAACATATAGTATGTCTATATTCTTTAGACACTGTTAAAAAATGTTTCCAAATATAATGTTGCATTCCAAATATTAAGAAATATGAATGAAATTGTTTTTTACTAACAATTCTCTGATCTTCCACTTTGTATTTTTTCTAAAATACATGAGCCATGAACTTCCTTTGAACCATTTTAATATCATTCAATTTTTCCCTGGTCTGTTGGAAGTCCTTGCTGTTGTTATTCATTCCTCAAATATAGTTGCGTTATTCACTATCATTCGTCTAGTTCTTCTCTATCTTTTTCGAAAGTAAGTATTGCATTGAATACTATTTTGTGAAAGAAGAAGAAAAACATTCTTTCCCAATACACTGTGAATAAGCAATGATGACAGTCTGAAAGAAAAGATTAATCTGTATTAAACCATTTCAAATATTTTATTAAATAAACATAATTTATTTCATAGAAATAATTATAATTTATTTAATAGAATGCATTTGAACGTATATAACACGTTCTGTTAACAATCACTGCATTAAACCATAGACAGATCATTCATTTAACAGAATGCACTAGATCACATCACTTTCTATTAACAGTCTCTGTGATATCAGTAAGTTTTCACATATTTGTTATTCTGTTACAATCAAAACAAGAGAATCGAATGAACATCGCCCTCTTGCTTAACGAACCTAAATTGTCATCGACATGGCATACGTATAGTTCTGTTCTGTTAAAAGCAACTTACCGAACATAAAATGTAGCTCAGCTTTAAATCTCGAAAAGTAGACTTCGTGAAACAGACAACTCAAACCGAGCAAGTGGCTTACAGAGCTTTACCGGTTTAGTTCAATGCTTACAGCTGCCGGTAACGGTGGTGCTTAGTTCGCGTTCCTGCTACGGATGGAAAGTTCAATAAAAATAACGACATAAGTCATCAAAGTAAAGCAAAGCTCGGTTTCTGTTGTTTCAGTGTCAAATTGCATTTAATATTATTTGTAAATTTTTTTTCGTAACTATTATTCATAAATGTGTGGATGATAAAAAATTAAAAAATTAAAAAAAAACAAACAACAGACAATAAAAAAATTCTAGTCGTGTTGATAAAAGTACATTTGAGCTGCACGTAATCAAACCGGGACGCACTTTCCGTCGTGAGTCGGGCTGTGAAGTGCGCTTATATTTGTTGGTAGCGAGATTGACGGTTGGTGATGATGCTTTACGCATATTTATTAATTAAAAATATACAAAATAAAATAATCATTTTTGAAAAAATGCACTGACAACAATAATAAAAAATGCCACAAACAAGCTTCGTGAAAAGTGAAATTCAAACAAACTTTTAAAATAATGACTTTTTAAGCTGAAAAAGAAATGATTTGTTGTTTAAAATAATCAAATTTTGACCTTAGGCTTTGCTTGAGTTCCATTAATTTTATTTGTTGTGTTTTTGTTTTTGTTTTTGTTTTTGTGGTTATTTACACCTTAGAAAGTATTACCTGAAAGGAGAAATATATTTTTAAATTGATTTATTATTTATTTTTATATGACAGTCTTCCTTTTGTTATTGGAGTTTTCTAATCGGTGATTTTGCAAAAACAACAATGTGTACAAATAAATTGACAAATTAGAACAACTGTTAAGCTTTAACAGCAAAGAATAACAGGTTATTGTTGACTTCATGTTAGAGCACTGCTATTGCTACTGCTACTGCTACTGCGCTGTTGTTGTTGCTGTTTCTTCTGTATTAGCAATAAGTAACACAAATTGTAAATGTTCTTAATATTTTTTTGTTTTCTGCTGCTTGTAGCCTAAAATTGGCAACTGCAATTGTATGTTGTGAGTCTTGAGCTTGATTAACTCTTTTCGTTCAATTTCTACTGCTACTTCCACTTCGAGCTTTGCTTACTTTCATCTTTCATTGCATGCTGCGGCACATTTTGTACAAGTTAAGCTCACCGAAATTGGGCTTCGGCAACAGGTTTTGTTCTAGCCTCGAGTCGAAATATCATTTATTATTTGTATTTGTATTTTTTTTTTTTTTTGGTTTCAACATTGATTATTGTCTGTAATGTGTAAGTGGGACATTTTTCCTCTTCCTCTTTTCTCGTTTGCTTTTGTGGCTTTTCTATGCATTACGGCTCATTTAATAGCCAAATTATACAAAAATCGGCATTTCTACTTGTCAATGAAAGTTCTTGGGAATTGTGTGTTAACGTAGCAAAAGAAAAATCTTACCTAGACTTTCTTTGTAGGTTGCGCTAAGTCTAAATTCTATAGGTTTTACGGTATTACAATGCTATTAAGTGAAATTTATTACATATTGAATTGAATTATTGGGTATCTGAAATTTTAGTTGATAGATTTTAAAATTGGTAAAGCTTTTTATTATAATTGTAGTCACGCTCTTTGAGAATGTTCCAATTGTAGTTAGAAATAATATTAAAACTATTCTGGATTTATTTTTCACATTAACTGTATATGTTATATGTACGTATGGTAGGAACTAAATGGTGGACAATACTCGCAACCCATCCCGCGAAAGATTTAAGGCCATGCTAACCTTAATTGAGGCCCTATGTTGCACTGGGAGTTAATGGAACAATGAAGAAGAAGAACCTTAATAAAACAGGCTACACCTGACGAGTGCCGTGAAAGAGTAGTGAAAGAGTAGATTTATGATATTTAGCTCTATATGTTATGTATTCTCAACGTAGTTTATAAGAATTAATTATGTTGTTGACAATAGTATAATATATATAATAGATAAGTAGAAAAGTAGATAATTTTGGTGACAAAAGATGTTACAACTATTATAGTTCTGAACATGTTTCTTTTGAAGGTGTTACTATTCCAATCTTCTAGAAGCGGCTTCAAGCTGCTTCTATGAAATTACTTCTATTACCAAAGTCCAAAACTAATTTGTTGATTATTGAGTTGGAAATCACAAATCGTCGAAAATTGTTTCGTTTGTTTAACATGTAAGTTAAGGAGCACATCATTTTACAAAATCAATATTTAGCATTGTTGCTAACGTTGCGAAACAACAAATGTATTAATTTTTTGAGAGTTATTCGTTAAAATTCTCAATTGTTCAATAATTTAAGCCTAATATATTTAGCATAACTCTGATATTTATATTTGTTGATATATAATCTTCATTATTACCAATAATGACGAAGATTTTCTACATTTCGTCTATCAAGTCCACTGTTCAATCCATATCTTGTAATTCTGTAGTCTTGTTCCTGCTTAACAGACATAGGCTGATAATATTTATTATATATTTTGTTTCCATTTTGTTTGTAGTAAATATTTTTTCCCATTTTTATTCCATTTATTGTTTCTCTTGTACTACATTTGCATTCACAAAATATATGCTCATAACCTTTACTTTTTAAACTTGCAACTTACCACTAGCAACATAAAGTTTCAAATGATGTTTCCCAACTTAGTCAATATCTTATCCAATTTATTACTTACCAACCTCAGCATTGATAACATTTTCTACTTCAATTAAGGTTACCTCAAAAAATCCGAAAACTTTATATAAATTTCGTTATTCAGTACTCATATGCATTATCACGCCCAATATTTGAAATGAATTATTCGAATCGCGTATTTTTGCATAGACGCACCTTTCCAATTTTATGTTGTAAGACTTTTTCTTCAGTGAATGACTAAGTTTGTAGTTGTTTGACGGCTTTGCGGTAATCAAATCAAAATAAATGAAAATAAGAAAAATTTTCGGCAAATCCAAATGATTACCCATAATACCCTATACTCTTTATTCTACACTAAAGTAAAGTACAAAATTTATAGTAAATAAAAACTGTATTAACAGGAGTAGGATTAGATAAGCTTTTCGCATAACTTATACCTATACGAGTACAAGGGAACTAATTAAAAATTCTTACTCAGTTCACATTTTATTTAGCTGTGAACTCGTTATTGTGGCCCAAACAAGACAATAATATGAAGGCCGACAAGTGTTTTAAATTTGAACTCAAAAATATTTTTATTTTTATGCTTATTATCAAGTAATTAAACGAATTGGTATAATCGTATATGTATCTCTTAAGCCAGTAAGCGAGTTCAATGAAATAATTGCATTCTTAATTATGCGAATTTCTGCATATTAATTACGACACACCGAGTGAACTGAATTCGTCAGGTCAAATGTTCATCTGGTTTCCAAGCTGATTAAGTAGCGAATGAGTAAGTAAGTCGCCGTTGTAACTGTGAATTGCCGTTCTGGCGGTAAAGAACTACTACTGCTACTTCCAGCAACTACAACTACTGCTTTTCTGTACAGTGTTTCTACTAAGAAACTCAATTTGGCTGCGGCATTCCTTGTAGGCTAGAGCTTGATATGCTAGATATGTGCAATTTTCTATCGTTCGCTGCGACTTTAGTGGCATTCAATTTTTTATTACTGAGCACGGATCACACTGCGGTTCTGCATATGCCAATGTGTGTAGGTTGGCATTCTATATTATTTTATGATACTTAATTGTATCTATTAAAGCTTTACTATGAGCTGAACATGTTACACAGATAGTGACTTGTATCAGTATCAACGAAAGTCAGTATCACTTGGCGTAGATTTGTGAACTAGCGAATGCGAATTTAAATAAATTAACTTGTTTTTATTGCAAAATATCTTTGGCATTCACCACAAGCTGTGCTCATACACATTTTACTCATTTTACTAAAATTTCAATAAAACATAAACGATTAACTGCCGTTTGCTCTAGCAAATTTTGACACAATAATTATTTGAGGCAATTAAATGAAGCAAGAGTATTCGTTTCATGACATCACCAGATAATCAGTACGCATGTCATGTAGTACTTTACCATTTGCAAATTAAAATACTCCATTAAATTCAATTTATAAGCTTGGACTAGGACTTCAATAGAGGCCAATAGTTGAGATTTATCTATTTACCTTTTTTCTTTATGAATTGAATCTGCGTTACAGTCTAAGGAAGCCTTATTTACACTTTTCATGTCACAGAAAAGAGAACTTGATTCTGTTGTAAACATTGGCAGATAATTTTGCTTAATTAAAGAAATTAAATATATAAATACTTATTTGGCCAACCAGTTACTGAGTTTCGGCCTCACGCAGCATGTCTCCCCGGGCGCCTCTGTTATCTGCGCGCCTTCTCCAGTCTCGTACATCAAGTCTGATTAGTACTCCCTCAACTTGATCACTTCACCGAAGACAGGGTCTACCTCTAAGCTTTCTTCCTTCAACTTCAGCTTCAAAGCCCCTTTTAGATGAAGCATCTTCATCAATTCTCACGACGTGGTCAAGGATGTTAATTCGCTGAATTATATTAATATCATAATAAAGCTCGTACAGCTCGTGTTTCATTCGTATGCGGTAGTCGACGCCAACTCGTAGAGGACTCAAGATCCTACGAAGAGCTTTTCTCTCTAACACAGTGCTGGTTTATCCTACTGTGATAACGTCCTTGCTACTGCGCCATACAAAAGCACAGGAAAATTGAGCGACCTATAAAGCGTAAGTTTCGTTAGTTGAGAGAGAGCTCTTCATCCCAATTGCCTACTGAGTCCATAGTAACATTTATAAGCAAGTCTTTAAATATATAAGTATATATATATATATAAATATATCTCGCTTAATTTTCTTTAATAAAAATATTCATCCTTGTAGCGAAAAGTAATTTAGTAATTGCAGAAAATTCGTAAATTACAAAATTTTTCTTTACAAATTTTACAATTACGTAAAGGACAAAGTTTAGATAAATTGCTTTTGAAATGGGCTATGGGCTCTGGGCTCTAGTCACGTTTCATTTCTCGTAATTTGAAGTTTTGCACACCAACACGTAATATACTATCATTAACATTCATTACATTTGCGTACGATATTCCGCATCGATTGACACAAAAATTGAGCTCTGAAACACAAAACCTCACTTCAGCAAAATGAGATTTATTTCCGCATTGCTCTGTGAAACACAATAAATTAACGCTTTTCCAATGCGTCCGTCTTTGGTCATTTTTAATGTATGACCAAGTTTTCCTTGCAACATCGCCATACAAAACCAATTTCGCATTACACGTCGCGACGCCTCGTCATCAAGCGTTTCGCTTTATGCAATGCAATTTAGTTTTTCAGAGAAACGTTTTTTATTTAATCGAAATGCACTGAAATGCAATATTTTAAACTTGGAAAATATATAAAATAATACGACAAATTACTGTTAACAAAAAACTTTAATTGAACTCAAGCCATATTTGTCGTGATCATCTATAGGGCATGAATAGTGCTGTTGGCGGTGTGCGTTCTGCACTGTGGGAGGAGTTCATAGTTCTAATATTTTCTTTGAAGTATGTAAATGAATGGACACCAAGATCAGAAAGAATGTAAATAAGAGTTTTTTAAGAAGGGTTCGAACAGTAATGAAGAATCAGCAACAAAAATTTAGTTAATTTATTGAAATTTGGCTGATTATACAACGCTGTTTCGAGTATTGTCAAGTACTCATCATCATTGATCTTAGGAAACGTTCAAATCTTTTTAATTTTTTTATTTGAGTATATAAAAATATACGTTTATACATATAGTAAAAATCGAAAATGACTGGTAAATGTTAGGGAAGACGTCGCTAATTTTTTTGTTTCCTAACAAAGTTTAGTTTTAGTGTCCATCACTCAAATGGGTGGTGCTGAAGCAGTCATTACGAAATTTATTTAAATCAAATGTTAAAAAAAATGAGGAAATTTCTTATAAATTTTAATCTTTTTTTGGTTTGGGGAATAATTTGATTAATTTTGTGTTATTAGAAACGTCAAATTTTATTCAAACTCTTTAACTTTAATTTATATGATTTATAAGTAGTCTCAGCCTATGGCGTAGTGATCTCTAAAGATTTTCGATTCCTTTACTAAACATTGTTAGTAATATTTTTTTCTGTTGTTGACGATCGGTCATTTAAAACTTTTTACTAATTATCTTATTTGTTTTTTCATATTGATTGGTAATAACATCTTCGAGTCATATATGGTTCTTTGAGTAATTCAATTTGAATCAACTTTATTTTTGGATTCTTCAATAATAAAAATTTTTATATAATTTTTTTTTTATTTTTACTTCACGTAAATGTATATTTTTGTGGAAGAAGCAATATAAAACTCTGTGAAGTAAGTTCTATACCACGTTTGAAGCAACAGTGTTTAGAGATCTAAATCCAGAAGGATGTACAAGAGAACCGACGGTCGCAGTGCCACATTATTATTCCCTTAACAATAATAATAATAATAATGCTCCACAGTACACTTTACTAAGCATTAATTTTTATATATTTTTGTTACTTCCCTGCTATTATTTCCATGTATATACATATTTCAACTATAAATGAGCACTGACTGCATGCGTGAGTGAAGTGTAAGAGCTCACTCAGTAATTGATATAAATTCAATGCATTAGAGCAATCCAAACCCGTGTAACATTTTAAAATTATAACTAAATAATGTTGCCAATTTTTTCTCACTATAATATTTAAAAAAATATTAAATGAAAAGGATTAACCAAATAGTCAATATCTAATTTAACACAATTTTTCTTATTTATTTTTTCTTAAAATGGGAAATATTTTAATCGAAATAAAATAAATATCATAAACATTTTTCCATATTTTGCAAAATAAATATAGAAAAAAATTAGATAAATTTTTAAGATGGAAATATTAATCAATCTTCCATCTTCTATATTCCATCTAACTCAATTACAAACCGAATGGCATAGTTAAAGTCTTCCGCCTTTTTCTCACAGGCAGCAGCACCTCAAATTTATTCACAAATTAAACAACTCTGATGTGAATTGCATGCTGAAAAAATTGTGAATTAATTAAAAAAAGAAGAAAAACTATTTTGTAATGAATTGAGTTACATTTTATTTAGTATTGTTTGCTTTGCTGGAATTTATCTAACATTTTGATTGCTCTTATAAGTTATAACACAATTCGGATTAAAAATCGTCAATTAAAGTTTCGCAAACAAAATTATGTAAATAAATGAATTATTTTTGCTTTATTGTTGGTTTGTTTAATCAATTAATTTATAATAGAAATAATTTAGTGGTTTTTTCTTCGAATTAAGCATGACACGGTTTCGCTATTGTAATTCACTCAAATTAATATTCAACTCTGAGATAAGTCAACGTGTCGGCACTTGCGTGTGTAGATAGCCGTACTTTTGTGTTGAATACTTGCCGTTGCAAATTGTGAGTCGTGGAAAATAATAAATTATATTTTATGTAGGGTGTGTGTGTACAACAAATCATTGACAAATTCACAATAATAAATGAGAAGATCACAAATAGCATAACAATAAACGAAAACTGAGTATCCGAAATGTACCCGCCAAATCCACCAAAAGCTCCATCGACCATACGCCCTCGCTCCAGTTTATCGGCAGCGAAAAAGCCAAGTAATGCGCTGCTCACTTTAGCCGGTTTTTGCGTATTTTTGTTCGTATTGTGCGCGTTTTTACTTGGAGCGTTAGTTTATGTTGGACGAACGATTGCGGAAAATGCCACAACTATGCAATCCTTACCACAAGGAAGTGGTATATTCATAGAACGTATGTGGAATATATTGTGTAAATTTGAAATTCTTTTGCTGGCAGAAAAACAATTGCGAAAATTGAAAAGTTTGAAAAAAAACCATTCTCTCATCGGCAGTTGACTTCAGAAATAATTTTTCCATTACAATAGTATTTATAATTAAAAGTTCTTCACATATTATCCTTTACTTCAGACTATATTAATGTACGAAACTATTACGTATCATCTATAAGCTGTTCTATTCCTAATATGCATACAGTCTGTTGTTAAACAATACGCTGTGGTCTATTTGTTAAAAATCTGAACACCAGTTATCTGTGTCTGCATCTCACTGGGATGGAAAACTTTATAAACCTTGACACGTGTACAATCTAGTTTAGTATCTTACTATATCCCACTTTACTTCAAAAAAGTTGCAGAGATTTGTAGTAAATACTCATGGCTAATGCAATTAATATTGAAGAATTTTATTAAAAAATTTTTCTTTATAATGACATATAAAGAACCCAAATTTCGAAACTAAAATTTTACCGTAAGATCATTAGTAAATCAATTGAAAAGTAAAATTTGCACTGATTTGTTCTACTATATGTACTTCTGCACAGGGTCTTTCTCACCCAGTCGAAAGAGGGTTCCTTAGTGTAAGAAATAAAAAAACCTATTGTCAATATTTAACAAGATATACCATAGGTTATAAAAGTATTTCACTTTTAGAGATAAAACCCTGAATATTTCAAAAATGGTTTCAAGTAAGTTATATTGTAAGTTGTTAGATTATCAAAAGTGTATTTAATATTTATGCAGACAATGAATATACTAATTACAATAAGGTTTTTTCCGGTATTGATCACTTCAATATACCATAATTAACAAAATTTATTGTTTTTCAAATATTCTTTTCAATTTTACCGTATGAAGAAACCAATTCTTTCTATAAAACAGATAACAGATTCATTCTATTGTATATTCAAATAAATTTATTTCATACATTTGGCAATTTGGCATTTTATATTCTCTCACGCAATATATTCAGTTTATAACTTAAGTATAAACTTGTGTTTTATTTGTATCAAATATAGTGTTAGCTTGCGTCTACACAAGCTAAAATTCGGCAAGAAATTTACGTACTATACATTCTGTTTTTCATTGACGCACAAAATTTTATTCGCAGATTAAGTAGTTCGAAACGTAATCACTTTCGAACACAAAAACATTCTGACGCCAGATTATAAAATCTCTTGTAATATTATTTAGACATCTTTTAATACATTGACATTAACTTATAAAAACAGAAATATATAAGACGTTAGTATTATCGTTTTTATTAACATTACTGGTAATATTGGTTTACATTAAAAACCAATGCAAAGAAAAAAAATGACAACAAATCAAAGAAATCTGGCACTGACCATCAATTAATCCAATGTATAAATAATTTTGACATATTTATGATTTCCTTGCACTCTGAAACGCACTGTTTTCGCACTGTTCCATTCTGCCAGCAAATCAGCTGTTTTATATCAACGTTGCTAACTTGACATTTCCAATTGTAGCAATAAATCAAACACAGCACGTAGTGTTATCAACAAAGCCGATATTACAATTTCGTCCACTTGACCCGATAAGTACAATAGCACCAGAGTCAACAAAACGTAATACATCTTATCAACTTTCGGAAGAAATAATGTCTACCTCAAAAATTTTGAAAGAAATAACGTATCGTTTGCCACGTGAAATAAAACCACAGCGATATAATTTGCGCCTGTATCCCAATTTGCCAAATAAAACATTTAATGGATCAGTGACTATAACTTTGGAAGTCCTTAAACCTATTAGTTTCATACCTATTCACGCTAAATTAATAAATGTAACTACAGAAAGTGTGCTGCGGCTTAACAAAGCCGGCGCGGAAATAAGTGCAGTTGAGCCATCAATGACTTTCGCTCACCCACAGTACGAGTACTGGATAACAGAATTTGCTAAACCACTTGAAAGTGGAAATTACTCCATATTATTGAACTTTAATGGTTCGCTAACAGATAAAATTGTGGGTTTTTACCAAAGTTCATATTTTGATAAGAATCGTAACGAAAAAAGGTAACAGTTTTCAACCGTTTTTATATCAAATTTGTATGAAGAGCACATTCTTGCATTTTGTTTTTTTATTTTTTTTTGTTTTTTTTTTGTTTTGTGATTTTAATTCTGATATCAATAAATATTTTAGATGGATAGCAACTTCTAAGTTTGAACCAACTTATGCACGTCAAGCGTTTCCCTGTTTTGATGAGCCATCTATGAAAGCGCAGTTTACAATTAGGATTGTACGACCAACTGATGGTGGCTATCATGCTTTATCTAATATGGAGGTGGAAGTAAGTATATAACTTACAGAAATATTAACAATAATATATGTACTCATATTTGCTTTTTAAAGAATGAAGAGGTCAAAAGTGATGGACTGACAGAAGTAACATTTGCTGAATCAGTACCTATGAGCACATATTTGGCTTGCTTTATTGTTTCGGACTTTGATTATCAAGAAAAGTTGGTAAAGGGTACCTTAGAAAATGCTCCAGATTTTAATATGCGTGTATATTCTACTCCCGCACAAAAAGATAAGCTGGAATATGCTTTGAAAATTGGTTCAGCCATAACTGAATACTACATCGAGTATTTCAATGTACCTTACCCACTAAATAAACTAGATATGGTAGCCATACCAGATTTTGTATCTGGAGCTATGGAAAACTGGGGTTTGGTAACTTTCCGTGAAACTGCTTTATTATATGATCCAACTATAAGTTCTAGTGCAAATCAACAACGTGTTGCTACAGTTATCGCACATGAGTTGGCTCACATGTGGTTTGGAAACTTGGGTATAACAGTTTTTTAAATATATGTAGAAATAATTTTGTTAAAAAAAAGTAATTATCTTTTAATCGCAGTGACTATGAAATGGTGGAACGATCTCTGGTTAAATGAAGGTTTTGCTAGTTATATTGAGTACAAGGGAGTTCATAAAGTAGAACCAACATGGAGTATGGTAAATACTTGATAATAATTGTGCATTGAATTGGTGTGGTAATAAATATTATTTTTAAAGTTGGATCAATTTCTGATAGCAGACTTCCATTCAGTTATGAAATTGGATGCCACAACCGCTTCACATCCAATTGTACAAACTGTGGAAAGTCCAAGCCAGATTACTGAACTTTTCGACAGCATCACATATTCAAAAGGAGCTTCCATCATTCGTATGTTAGAAGTACGTACACTTTTATATAGGTTCTGTGTTGTTATTTATTATTATTTTAGGATTTGGTTGGTGAAGAAAAATTCCAAAAGGGTACCACGAACTACCTAAATAATAATATTTACGGAAACGCTGTAACTGAAGATTACATCAATGAAATTGAAGCACTAGGATTTGAATTTGACGTCAAGTGCGTAACTATTTTGAAGCATATTTGTTTTTCTTTGTAACAATTAATTCTTTTACATTATCTAGGCTATTACTGGAAACCTGGACTGACCAAATGGGATTTCCAGTTGTTAGCGTGGTGAGAAGTGGTAACACCTTCACGTTGACCCAAAAACGATTCTTCTCAAATCCAGAGGATTATAACACTGTACAAGATCCTTCAACATTCAAGTATATTTCTTAGGTTTTTTTTTAAGTATGTGCACTCCAATTGTGTTTTCTCATCTTTTAGCTATCATTGGTCAATTCCAATTACATACGTTACAGATGGAGAAAGTGAAAAGCAAAGTACTATTTTTAATTATAATGATAACCAACGTAAGTTAGCAAAAGTGTTATTTTTATTGCGTTTCTAGTTAATATTTTAATTTTTCATAGTTACTTTAACTATATCCAGTGTAAGCGAATGGATTAAATTTAACAAGAACCAAATGGGTTATTATCTTGTTAATTATGATGAGAATATGTGGCAAGCTTTGATAACTCTTTTGTTAACTGAAAGAGGAAAACTTAGCATTTCCGACAGAGCCAATTTAGTATTTGATGTCTTCACATTAGCAGATGCATCACAACTCGATTACAACATTGCATTTCAATTAAGTACGTATTTGCAGAAAGAAAGAGATTATGTACCTTGGCAAGTCGGTGCGTCTCGTCTCAATGCCATCAAGAGTTTACTATATTACACTGAATTCTATCGCGATTTCACTGTTTATGTACGTAAGATAGTTACTGAAGTATATGAGACATTAACGTGGGAGGAGGATACCGATCACTTGTTAAAGTATGGGCCTAAATTTCTAATTAAAGGCGCAAAATTTTAATATTATCCCATTGCAGTATGTTACGCGTAACAATATTAAACACCGCGTGTCGTTTTGGTCATAAAGTTGCATTACAAGAAGCAGCAACACGTTTCAACGCTTGGTTAATTAATCCTGATGTACGTCCTACTCCTAACTTACGTTCTATTGTCTATTACTATGGCATGCAAGCTGTTGGAACTGAAGAAATCTGGGACCAAGTACTCGCACTGTTTGTAGCTGAATCGGATGCACAAGAAAAAATAAAACTCATGGAAGCCCTTGCAGCAATTAAAGAACCATGGATATTGCAACGGTAAGAACTTTTCTATAGATTACCCAAGTTTCTGCCTTGATATTATATTGCAGCGCAATACACAAATCTTTCTATAAAAATATAAACAAGTATAACGACGCAAAGTGACATACTTATCACATTATTTATTTGTAGATACATTAATTTAGCTTGGGACGAGAGTATTGTTCGGAGTCAGGACTACTTTTCTTGTTTGCAGTACATATCAAGAAATCCCGTTGGACAAAGTTTAGTGTGGGATCATGTACGCGAAAATTGGCAACGTTTAGTAGACAGATTTGGAATTAATGAACGAACTTTGGGTCGTTTGATTCCTGCCATTACATCACAGTTTTCTACACAAACCAAATTGGAAGAAATGGAAGCATTCTTTGCGAAATATCCAGAAGCCGGTGCCGGTACTGCTGCACGACGGGAAGCATTGGCAACTGTAAGATATAACATCAAATGGTTGGAACATAACATAGCTAAAGTAGGCAACTGGTTGCAAGAAAATAATCAACAAATTGAATAGATTAGATAAGACGTGATGTAAATTATTCCTTGTGCCTTACGTGTTGGCATATTGTACATTGAATTATTGTAAATTATGTTAAATTTGATTAGAAATGAAATTTTTTAGTTTTTATAATTTATATACACAGGTATGCATGTATAATTAATGATAAACTGAACTGTGAATTTATATTTTTATTATTAAAAAGACTTTAAATTTATTCTACAATTACTTGAATATTAACATATCCAGTCATTTGCCATAAAATGCCAAACAGTATTCGCAGTATACTTTGAAATTATTAACCCTAATTGTAACCCAGAGTTTTTTGTTTTTAAGCATTTTAAGTTGTCATAACTTAGACACTCATTTCAGCAGTTCTATTTTCATACGGTGCAAGCGTCTGTTTACCCATTCCTACCAATCCACCGAATTCCGATAGTTCAAATTTTGCATCCGTTCACTGACTCTATTAAGCACCGAAAGCTTTATCAAATCAAAGCACATATCTCATTTTTGTGATGTTTTGGCGGACATTATAAGGGGAAAATAAGAGATAAAATTGATTTGAAGGATTTAAATTACTCTGTTGAAATATAATATATAAAAGTAGCATTAAAACTGAAATTAAGGTTTATTAAAATGTGCCAATTACTTGCCTTGCATAGAAATGATGCGAAAATATTTTGCCAACCAAAATGAAAATTTAACGGCTGCCCGAAATTATTTGACCAAATCGTGTCAACTTTATTCACACTTAAGCAGCCAATGTTCATTAATGTTGCACACCAGTGCCAATTTACGGCTAATCCTTGTGCGGTTTTCTCGCCTTTGCTGACTAAGTAAACTTCCACTTTCATCAATAATAAAAATACAGCGAATGGCATTTGCTAACGTTTATTATGTCTACGGTACTTCGACGCTCATTTAAGGCTAATCAAGAGTAATGGATAATCAAACTGGCAGCTAAAGGGACGATGACGGAATTTTTGTAATTTCTTTTAAATTTGAATTTAAATGAAAGTCCGAAATTAATGTGAAACTGATGGCTCCTTGAATTGCAATAGAACAAAACTGGATGGCTCTGCTTAAGTGAGTATCCCACAGAATCCCTCTGTGAGTAGCCGACCTTGAAACGAAGGCAGACAGATAGTGATCTGGGAAATAACATTATTATTTGTTATTGCTAATTATTTCGTATAAAATGAATTTTAATTTAATTCACCGTTTAAACCTTCAATATTAAATTCGTACGCAATCCACAAGTGGTTTTGGATTCTGCTTTGAGCTGTTTTTTTGTTATTCGATTGCATCCCTCACAAAAGTCTGTTTCTTTTATGATGTGCGCATCTTTGGAGTAAACACAAGCCAGTCAGCATATTTTGAATCCTGATTGGAGATGACTTTGGCTTTCTCCTTTTTACTGTTTATCATTAACGACAAATTGTGTAAGTGACGTTTAACGTACAGTGATTAAAATCCAAGGGGCTTGACATTTCAAAAGTTTTATGAAATAAAAGTTGTCGAGAAAAACACTGATTAATTGCTGTTTCTCAAACAAGAATTATTTCTTTTTAAATGCAAGTCCAACTGTGGAGATTTTAGGTAGTGTAAATAGAATTGTTGTAAGTTTGGAAACGGTTAAGTGTCTTATAATTGTGGTACTAATTATAGGAGAATATGCCCTATCCACTTCCATTTACGTCTTTTAACTTCAGTATTCGCACATACTTGATCTGTTCGCTTTCAAAGTTGTTCATTTGATATGCGAATTGGTCACCATATATTAAGAATCTGCCGTAAGCACTTGTCATACGTTTCGCAGCATACTAAATGCGGCTTTGGCTTTAACAACACGTGCAGCAATGTCTTTATCCGCGCTACTCTTGTTTATAACTATACTGTCCAGGTACGAAAATCGGTCGATGTTTATTATAAAGTTTCCGCACTTTGCGTTTTTGCCTAATTGCTCTAGGTTCTCCTGCAGGTCGCTTAATCTAAGGCTTAATAGACAAACGTCATTAAAATACTCGAAATCCTCTAACTGTGTAAAAGGCGTCCACTGTATGCCTTTCCCTCCATTCATTGTGGATCACATTACTTCCTCCAAAGCTAAGATAAACAAGATAGGCGACATGGTACAACCTTGACGAACACCAGTAGAAATTTCAAATGGATCTGAGAGTTTTGCCTTAATTATCTGTAAAATTTTTATTAGCATACCTCTCCTTAACAACCGCCAAATAAAATCGCGTATCATCTTGTCAAAAGCTTTTTTAAAGTCAACGATATTAGAAGTTAAGAAAGAAATACTCATTTTTAGGTACATGAAACGAAAGCAGTATAGACGTTCAAAAAGAAATTAAGAAATACAGTGTAGGACAATTAACTTATTGAGGCGAAAACGGAGTTATATTAAAATAAGATAACATGCACAAATGTTAGATGATCATTGATTTATATGAATCATATTCTAGCTCGTCTTCAGAATATCTGCTGTTCAAAGTGTGATCCACCATTGAAATCTTAATATTCTTTACACAATTTTGTGAAGAGGTGTCCCGAAAATCTAGTCCAACTGCCAAAAATTATACGCCATGCGTCTGTAAAAGGAGGCATCAATCCAACTGCCAAAAATTATACGCCATGCGTCTGTAAAAGGAGACATCAATTCAAACCCTGTCGAAAAACATTATTTACAAACCGCACTTATAAAGATTTATTGCCGCTTAATCTTCTAATTCGATTTTCAGTCTAATTTTTTATACCAAAAAGAAATACTCATTATTAAAAAAGATTAATGTTCACGTAAAGCTTCAAAAATTTATAGATAGTTAAAAATGGGATCTACCACTGAAGCACAGAAAGGATTCCTTATCATATAGTACTACTTATTTAGTTGCATACAGTTAGATTATTGTATATTTCATGGTAGGTTCAGATTCCATCTAAGTGTACAAAAAGGAATATATGGACTTTGAACTGAAGTCATTTTTCTACAAACTAAATCCTCGTGTCAGTGAGATCAACTTATAAAAAAAAAGGTATCGGTAAACATGGTTCTGGACGTGGAGTGGCAATAAAACCCCAAATTGGTTCATCTTGAAATCCTGATTAAAGCAGGAAAATTTATTCAATTATTATCCAACATAATGTAAAAGTAAAGAAGTCTTGTACAAATAAATATCGGTTAAAGATATATATAATGCTGTAACAGATGTTCTCTATAAAATCAAAACAGTTACTCAATTTTTTTCTTAAACTGTTAAAATTTCCTCAACGCTTTAAAGTAAAATCATGCACACATGGATTATCCAAATCTCTGAAATCAACCAACAGATTTGTTTGTCTTGGTTTTGTCACGATTATAAATAAAAAAAAAAATGTTACATATTTTAAAGGATATACCATTTCTCGTCACATCCACCCAGTAACTCATAAATTTTACGATTATTCACACACTAGCGGCTTGTCGGCGCATGAGCATCAAAATCCATCCTTCTTGTGCAGAAGGAATGTGGTTCATCCTTAAGAAACTCCAAAACAGTAAATTGTTAGTATTCAATAAATTGTGTAAAACTATTTGGAATGAAATGGTTAAACAAATATTAGCCCAAAGGAATTCAAATAAAATTTATTTTCCTTTTTCTGGTTAAGAAAAGTTAAGCGCTCTTAAACATTACCGACTAGAAATTTATGAATCGATGAATGGATTGCGACTTAAGTAGTCTCAAGGTTCTCAATAAATTGATATTGAATATTGAGTATTGAAGTATTAAAAAAATTTATAAATGATTAATTGCAGGAATTGCAATAACAAAGAGGACTAAATTCAATTCACTTGAATTCGATGGAATAATGTATTTCATGAGAAAAATCCAGATAGAAGAAGCAGAGCTACTTGAAAACATTTATACATGAAATGAAAAATATTTGATTTATTTAAGGAACTCCCGAAATGACAGACACAAAGTTAGAAAACGTACTACAGACAACAGAAACAGTACATTTTTTACACATCCTGCCTTCTAATTCCAAAAGGAAAAACGTTCGACAGTTGCTTAGTTTAGCCGTCTAGCCGCTCCGATCTCTGCGATAAAAGTAGTCAAACGCACATAAAAGTCGTTTTTGCTAACTAAAAAACAACAGTCATAAGTCAATGAAATTCAATGAGCAAGGCAAAGCGGGTTGAAGGAATGACACATCATTTGCATTTCATCCTCTTGACTTTGTGTGGAATTAAGTTGTTTCGCTAACCTTTTTAGGCTGGCTTGGGAAGCAATGGAGACAAATTCTTATGTGCAGCAAATTTACATAAATTTCGTGAAATTTATTGAGGCTGCGTCAACAACATTGGAGAACTTTTCAAGTTTCGTCAAAATATTTTGTATCGAGTACAAATTTTACATGTCCTCTTGAAATATTTTTTGAGTCATAAATTGTCTGGCGGGGTGCTTAAATTGATTTTAAAAGCTTTTCATATTTTTGACTACGATAATGACATTAAAGCAATATTCTCTATATGTCCATGTTGAACATAGGCGTAGATATGGTTGGGTTGGAATGGCGGCCTTGTATATCAAAGCCCACTTGATCTCAAATAATGGCCTGTTGGGATAAATAGTACAAAAATAGTTTCAGTGCTAGAGGTAATGAAGCAAAATTGGAATGAATATGGGTTGTTTAATCACACAAATTATATGTTTGGCTGAATTTTACGAGAAATTTTCCACACATGTTTTGATGATATGAACTGGTCAACAAAATTATGCGACTTATCGCTACTGGAATTTTTTACAGAGTCACGTAAAGAATCGTAATTACATGGATCATCTCAAACCTTTGACGCTCTTTAAAAAAACATTCTTCAATGTGTGGTTGAGTTATTCCATAAAGCTGGCAATGATTCGATAAGTCTTCTAGAATTAATTCAAACCGATCCAAAGCTGTAAAATGTCTAGTAGAATTTAATTAAATAATGTTGTTCTTTACTCTTAATAGCAAGTTCCAAACAATTTATTGAGATTAAAATTTTATGGAACACTCAATTACAAGTTGGCCTTTATATACGTTTACTTTTGGAACCACGAAATGGGTAACTTATGTATCTTCATTATAGACCATACCTACATCTTATTACATACTAAATATAATTTTATAATATTTTTATTATGAATCCTTTTTCTATAAGAGTTAAGATAAAAATATAACCAATTGAGAACAT